CTGACCAATATCTCTACTAAAAATTAGCCAGATGTGGTGGTGAGCATCTGTAGTACCAGCTACTCAGGCTGCTGAGGCAGGAGAATTGCTTGAACCCAGGAGGCAGAGGTTGCAGTGAGCTGAAATTGCACCACTGCACTCCAGCCTGGGAAGGTGAGTGGGACTCCGTCTCAAAATAATAATAATAATAATTATTATTATTATTATTATTATTAACTGAGCATGATGGCAGGTGCTTATAATCCCAGCTACTGAGGAAGCTGAGACAGGAGAATTGCTTGAACCTGCAAGGCGGTGGGTGCACTTAGCTGAGATCACACCACTGCACTCCAGCCTGGGAAGGTGAGTGAGACTCTGTCTAAAAAAAAAAATAAAAATAAAAGCAGCTTGGTTTTGAAGATGTAAGTTAGGAAAATCTATTAGTTTCAGAAGCTTCGAAGGTCTGGGAGAAAGGAATATTGACAAAGAAGAAAAGGATTTTGTGTGAATTGAGGAAGTTAACTCATTAGTGTAGTTTTTGTTTATTTCTTTGTTTCTTTTTTTACTGAGGAAAAGAGAACAAAGGTATAAGATTGGAGTAGTCTTTCAGTCATTCTTTGTAGAATTGGTAGCTAAAAGGCTGAGTGAAATATGACTTAAAAGCTTTATTGGCCAGGCACAGTGGCTGACCCCTGTAATCCCAGCACTTTGGGATGCCAAGGCAGGTGGATCACCTTAAGTCAGGAGTTAAAGACTGGCCTGACCAACATGGTGAAACTCTGTCTCTACTAAAAATACAAAATTAGCTGGGTGTGGTGGCATTTGCCTGTAATCCTAGATACTTGGGGGCTGAGGCAGGACAATCACTTGAACCCAGGAGGTAGAGACTGCAGTGAGCTGACATCCCACCATTGCACTCCAGCCTGGGCAACAAGAGCAAAACTCCCATCTCACACGCACAAAAAAGCTTTATCATTTATTTTGTGGCCCTGTCTTATGGTTCAGAGGGCCACTTTCTAAAAGTTTTTTGAAAGCAAATTTTCTAGAGGCTTGAAGTGTTCATTATCACCATGTTTTTGAGGGTGAGAATTACCTCAGAGGGCATGCCTTGTCTCATTATTGTTCTTATTGCTGAGCTACTGAAACCTAGAATCTGACTAACACAGTATGACATTCATTTCCGTTTTCTTGGTAGAATTTGTGTGGTCATTCATGTTTTAGGAACTACAATCCTCTTAGTTCCTATTTATTTATTTATTGAGATGGAGTCTGGCTCTGTTGCCAGGCTGGAGTGCAGTGGCGCCATCTCACCTCACTGCAAGTTCCAGCTCCCTGGTTCAAGCAATTTTTCTGCTACAGCCTCCCGAGTAGCTGGGATTACAGGTGCCCACCACCACACCCAGCTAATTTTTGTATTTTTAGTAGAGATGGGGTTTCACAATGTTGGCCAGTGTGGTCTCGAGCTCCTGACCTTGTGGTCTGCCCACCTCGGCCTCCCACAGTGGTAGGATTACAGGTGTGAGCCACCATGCCCGGCCCTCAGTTCCCACTTGGTTCACTGCAGCTTGGACCTCCCTGGGCTCAGGTGATCTTACTGCCTAAGCCCCCTCAGTAGCTGGGAGTACACGAACACACCACCATGTCTGGCTAACTTTTGTATTTTTGGAGAGATGGGATTTCACCATGTTGCCCCGCTGGTCTCAAATTCCTGGACTCAAGTGATCTCCTGCCTGAGCCTCCCAAAGTGCTGGGATTGTAAGTATGAGTCGCCATTGCCTGGCCATAAAGAGAGTTTTTTATTTTTATTTTTTTTTGAAACAGAGTTTTGCTGTTGTTGCCCAGGCTGAAGTGCAGTGATGCAGACTTGGCTCACTGTAACCTCCACCTCCTGGGTTCAAGCGATTCTTTTGTCTCAGCCTCCCGAGTAGCTGGAAATATAGGTGTGCACCATCACGCCTGGCTAATTTTTTATATTTTTAGCAGAGATGGGGTTTCACCATGTTGGCCAGGCTGGTCTCCAACTCCTGACCTCAGGTGATCCGCCCACCTTGGCTGGCCTCCCAAAGTGCTGGGATTACAGGCGTGAGCCACTGCTCCCTGCCCATAAAGAGAGTTTTAAACAATGCGTATAGTATGATTTTAGTGGGGTGGCCACTTACACGTACATGTGCACATGTATCAATGAAAATGCCTTCCTACCTTTAGCCTTGGCAATGCTGCATTTAGGGAATAAGCATTTAAATGATGGTGTCTTGGCTAACAGTGTGAACTCTGGAGCCAACCTCTCCAAAATTATATCCTGAATCTGGCACTAGCTAGGTCTGGAGCCATTAATAAGTTATTTAACCTCTCTTGATGGTGTCTTTATCTGTAAAATGGGGGTAATGAAACATCTGCCTTATTGAGTGGTTGGGAGCATAAAATAGGTTAGTAGTTCTGGTGTGGTGGCTCATACCTGTAATCCCAGCACTTTGAGAAGCTGAGGCATGAGTATGGCTTGAGCCCAGGAGTTTGAGACCAGCCTGGGCAACACAGTGAGATCCCATCGCTACAAAAAATAAAAACAATTAGTTGGGTGTGATGGTATGAAGCTATGGTCCTATCTACACAGGAGGCTGAGGTGGGAGGATCACTTGAGCCCAGGAGGTTGAGTCTGTACGGAATTGTGATCGTATCACTGTACTCCAGTCTGGGCCACAGAGTGAGATCCTGTCTCAGGGGGGAGAAAAAGGGGTTAGTAGATAGAAAGTACTTATGGCTCAGAGTAAGTGTTCTGTGCACGTTGGCTGTTTTTTAAATCTTGTATTTAATACCTCTTTGGTTAGAAGTACACTGCTTTGCTTGGATTACCATTTGTATGTAGAGAGATGTTCTTTCTAGAACCATGTCTCCTTGTCACATGATTATGTACAGTGTGAGCTTTATTAATACTCTGTCAGCATTTGAGGTTGGAACATAAGTGCATGGTTATACCCAGTGGAATCCAGCAAGAGAGAGAATCCTAAGAACCATAGCAACTGTTGCTATTTGTGTACTGAGTAGCAGCTGTCCGAGACAGATTTATTTTTTAATCCTGATCTCACTGATAGCCTAAGATACGGCCTTGCCTCAAAAGTGTGGATTGGTTGAGATGTCCAGTCTTTGAGGAGATTTCATGACCGCATGCCATAAAGATTCATGTGAAATTTGAGGAGCTAAAGCTTTGTGTGTATGAGTGAGGGAGAAAGATTAAGTTTTAGCATTCATAGTCAGTCCCTGAAGTATAATGTGGCTAGATTAATGACATGAGAAATCACTCTTAACATGGGCAGTGAGACTTCGTGCATTTCAGTCAAAAAAATAATTTTGCTGTAATATGGTTCATTTCCAAATTTTGGCTGCAAACTAACCTAGAGAGGATAAAAAACAGAATATTTACTGAGTGTCTACTTTAGGCCAGGGTCTGTTCTGAATACTGATAGCACGGTTAATTACATTCTAAAATAACTTAGTCTGTGATTCCACTGTATACTACATTACGTACATACACATACATACACGTTTACATACTTGTCAACCGTAGATTTTAGAAATAATAGAGTTGATCCTGAGGGGAGGCAACTCCTGTAAAATTTTAAAAAACTAGAAAAAAGAAGGAACATTTGTTATGAGTGCTTCATTAGCAAATGCTTTTCTGAAGTAGCAAGTAAGATCTTTAAAAAGAGCTTCTTTCAAACAGTGGTTGGATTCATTCAATAATTTTCTGATTTTCACTTTTTTTTTTCTTGAGATGAAGTCTCACTCTGTTGCCCAGGCTAGCTGCAAATTCTGCCTCCTGGGTTCAAATGATTCTCTTGCCTCAGCCTCCAGAGTAGCTGGGATTACAGGCACGTACCACTACGCCTGGCTGACTTTTCTATTTTTAGTACAGATGGGGTTTAATCATGTTCACTAGGCTGGTCTCAAACTCCTGACCTCGAGTCATCCACCTGCCTTGATATCCCAAAGTGCTGGGTTTACAGGTGTGAGCCACTGCACCCAGCTCCATTTCCAATGTGTTCCAATATTTCTGTGCTTAACAGGTGCCTTGCAATACTAGTGTGGGCCAGGTGTGGTGGCTCATGCCTATGATCCCAGCCAGCACTTTGGGAGGCTGAGACGGGTGGATCACCTGAGGTCAGGTGTTCGAGACCAGCCTGGCCAACATGGGAAACCCTGTCTCTACCAAAAATACAAAAATTATCTGGGCATGGTGGTGGGGTGCCTGTAATCCCAGCTACTCAGGAGACTGAGGCAGGAGAATTTCTTAAGCCTGGGAGGTGGAGGTTGCAGAGAGATGAGATCATGCCACTGCACTCCAGCCTGGGGAATAGAGTGAGACTCTGTCTCCAAAAAGAATAGAAATAGTAATGTGGTTCATTTCCAAATTTTGACTGCTAACTTAACTAGGGAGAATAGAGGTTGTCACAGAATATTTACTGAGCATCTACTTTATATCAGGATCAGTTCCGAATACTGGTAACACACAGTTAATACTGTTGGTCTGGTTTTTTAAGTTCCATGTATAAATTACCTCTTAAAACTGTGATTATTTTTTCGTCCCCTCCCCTCCCCTTCTCCCTTTTTGAGACAGGATCTCAAAATAGGCTGGACTGCAGTTGACCGATAATAGCTAACTACAACCTCAAACTTCCAGACTCAAGCAATCCTCCCACCTCAGCTTCCTAAGTAGCTAGGACTGCAGGCGTGTACTGCCATGCCAGATAGTTTTTTTGCATTTTTTGGTAGAGACGGGGGTTCACCATGTTGCCCAGGGTGATCTTGAACTCCTGACCTCAAGTGATCTGCCTGCCTCAGACTCCCAAAGTGCTGAGATTACAGGCATGAACCACTGAGCCCAGCCTGTTGATTTTTAGTTGCCCTATTCAGATTTAGTGGTATGAATTTACTGATTGCGGTGTTTTGAACACACAGAATAACATGTTTAACTAAAGAACTTGTAATTGAGTGACTTATAAAATGAAACATTTTTTATCTTCTAGGTATTATTAACCCAAAGAATCCAAAGGAAGCTCCAAAATCCTTCAGCTTCGACTATTCCTACTGGTCTCATACCTCAGTGAGTACCCTCATTCCACAGCACTGCCAGCTCCTGCCTCCTTTCCTCTTTCCTTGACAATTTGTCTTTTCTCTTAGCTGAGCATGTCCAAGTTTTGTTTTTTAAGTGTTGTCTAGCATAAGTTTATTCTTTGATATAGTAAAGTAGCATTTTCATTCTTAGAAAGTATTTTGGTCGATGGAAAGTTTATGCACACATATATATGTAAATATATATACGTATAGAACATATTTTAGCTTACACCAAATTTATGCTGAACCTACACTAAATTTATACTGATTTAGACATCCCTTGAGGATTTATTTATCAGTATCTTAGGATCCTCATTACCAACATTATTGTCCATTGATCTTAGGAAATGCCAAATTATTATTATTATTGTTATTTATTTATTTTTTTCGAGACCCAGTCTCGCTCTATCACCCAGGCTGGAGTGCAGTGGAGCAATCTTGGCTCACTGCAACCTCTGCTTTCTGGGTTTAAGGAAGCTGGGACTACAGGCACCCAGCTAATTTTTCTATTTTTAGTAGAGACGGGGTTTCATCATATTGGCCAGGCTGATCTCGAATTCCTGACCTCTCCACCTGCTTCAGCCTCCCAACATGCTGAGATTATAGGCATGAGTGACTGTGCCTGGCCAATTGCTTTTTTAATTGTAGTAAGGCAGTGTGAGTTTTGAACATTTTGAAAGATGAAACCCTGTCTCTATTAAAAATACAAAAAAAAAAAAAAATTAGCAGCTAGGTGCAGTGGTTCATGCCTGTAATTTAGCGCTTTGGGAGGCTGAGGCGGGCAGATCACCTTAGGTCAGGAGTTTGAGACCAGCCTGGCTAACATGGTAAAACCCCATCTCTACTAAAAATACAAAAATTAGCCAGGCATGGTGGTGGGCACCTGTCATCGCAGCTACTCAGGAAGCTGAGACAGGAAAATTGCTTGAACCCCAGAGGCGGAGGCTGCAGTGAGTCAAGATTGTGCCAGTGCATGCCAGCCTGGGTAACAAAGAGTGAAACTCTGCCTCAAAAAAAAAGAAAAGAAAAGAAAATTAACTGGGCGTGGTGGCAGGTGCCCATAATCCCAGCTACTTGGGAGGCTGAGGCAGGAGAATAGCTTGAACCCGGGAGGTGGAGGTTGCAGTGAGCCAAGGTTACACCACTGTACTCCAGCATGGGTGACAAAGCAAGATTCTGTCTCAAAAATGAATGAATGAATGAAAGAGGCTGCAGATCTACACGGGAAGCAAAAGATTACCAATGTCTAGGAAAATGGAGAGTAGGGCCCTTTCTGGTACGCTTACTCAGTGTGGAACCCCAAATGTTGCTTCTTGTTAGGGTAGCGATTGTTCCTGGAGTTTACTTCTGCATGATTCATCTCTTTATTAGGTGTTTTTTGTTTTGTTTTTTCCTGCCTTTTTTATTTTTATTTTTTGACTGAGTCTTGCTTTGTTGCCCAGGGTGGAGTGCAGTGGCACAATCTCGGCTCACTGCATCTCTGCCTCTCCGATTCAAGCGATTCTCCTGCTGTAGCCTCCTGAGTAGCTGGGATTACAGTCGTGTGTCACCACGCCTGGCTAGTTTTTTTGTATTTTTAGTAAAGATGAGGTTTCGCCATGTTGGCCAGGCTCATCTCGAACTCCTGCCCTCAAGTGATCTATCTGTCTCAGCCTCCCAACGTGATGGGATTACAGGCATGAGCCACCATGCCCAGCCCTGGGGAATAGATGTTTTTAACTATTGACAAAGCCTAATTGTCAAGGGAAGGGACTGAGAGGAGAATGGAAACACTCTTCCTTGAAAGCAGTGTTTATTGAGAAATAGTTCTACTAGCTGGAGTGAGTTCAAAGAAGTATTTTATATGTGAACTTGATCCTTGGTCTTTTATTCTCATATTCCACTTAAGAAAATCTTGGCTCTGTGAATGAAAGAGTGATACTTTTAAAGTTATAGAAAATGAAATGAAATTATGCCAGATAATTTTATGTAGATATTTTTAAGTATGGCTGACCTGGATGACTGTACTAGTGCTTATGTTTGTGTGTGTGTGTGTGTGTGTGTGTGCGCATGTGTATGTATTTAATGAGAAAAGTAAATTTGTGGAGAGGGAGCTTAAAAATGTGAAGTGAATTTTAGGTGACTGTTCTGATTCCAGACACTTGTTTATTATGGAAGCTATCAACTAAGTATAGGAAGAAATATGAATAAATGGTCATTTTTTTTTTCCTTTTACTCTTTACAGCCTGAAGATCCCTGCTTTGCATCTCAAAACCGTGTGTACAATGACATTGGAAAGGAAATGCTCTTACATGCCTTTGAGGGATATAATGTTTGTATTTTTGCCTATGGGCAGACTGGTGCTGGAAAATCTTATACAATGATGGGTAAACAAGAAGAAAGCCAGGCTGGCATCATTCCACAGGTAAAAAACAAAACAAAACAGCAATCTGCTCATTAGTGCTGTTAGTCTTTAATTGCTTTAACAGTTATTTTTATTTGGTGAACATTTATGCAGGAATTATTTTATGTCAGGCACAAAGGTCAATAACCCATTCTTTTCCCTGAGAGGAGCTTACAGTTGAATGGGAAAGACTGACACGTACACGTCTGTTGTTAAAGGTGGGAAAGTCAGTGTTTTGTAATGATTTTGCCATATATCCAAGGCCATATTATTGTATTGTTTGAAAAGTGGTACCAGCTTGTTAAGGCTCAGTTCTAAGTCCTGGGGACACCTGGTGAATATTGTTGATCTGATTTTTTTCCAAATTCTATGTATAGATCACCTCTGAAAAATGTGATTATTTTCGGGTTTTTTTTGATAGCTTATTTGGAGATATCTTCATTTTATTTTTCTAATTTAATACTGTTACTTTAGATATCAAACACTTTGAGATTCTCTTTCTTTTTTTAGAGCAGTTAGTATTATTGTATTTGATCTTTTATTGTTTGGGAATGAAGAAGAGTTCTGACGTAGATATTTATTTTTATTTTCATTATTTGTTTCACTTAGGATTTAATGGTGAAAGACATAAGTGTTTATAAATAACTTCATTATTTACTTGTTTATTTGAGACAGGGTCTCACTCTGGTACCCAGGCTGGAGTGCAGTGGTGTGATCATGGCTCACTGAGGCCTTGACCTCTGAGGCTCAAGTGATCCTCCTGCCTCAGCCTCCAGAGTAGCTGGGACTATAGTCATGTGCCACCATACCTAGCTAATTTAAAAAATATTTTTATAGAGACAGTCTTACTACATTTCCCAGGCTGGTCTCAAACTCCTGGGCTCAAGTAATCTTGCCACCCTGACTGCCCAAAGTACTGGGATTATAGGCATGAGCCACCGTCTGGGACCTAAAAACTTAAAAAAAGAAAAAAAGATTAAATGAGAAGATTGCATTTAAAAATTTCCTTTTACAGTCACACATCTCTTAAGGATGGGGATACATTTTAAGAAATGCATCATTAGTCATTAGGTGCTTTTGTTGTACAAACATCATAGAGTGTATTTACACACACCCTGGAAGGTATAAACTACTCCACACCTAGACTGTATTGTATAGCCTGTTGCTCTGAGGCTACAAACCTGTATAGCATGTTACTGTACTAAATACTATAAGCAGTTGTAATAGAATGGTATTTTTGTACCTCTACATATCTAAACAGAAAAATACAGTAACAATATGATAAAAAAAAAAAAAGATTTAAAATGGCACACCTGTGTAAGGCTCTTACCATGGAGTTGCAGGACTGGAAGTTGCTCTGGGTGAGCCAATGAGTGAGTGGTGAGTGAATGTGAAGGCCTAGGACATTGCAAGACATTATTGTAGACTTTATAAATGCTGCACTCTTAGGCTACACTAAATTTGCTTTTAAAAACAGTTTCCTTTCATTAATTAATTAACCTTAGTTAAATTACTATAACTTTTTTACTGTATAAGCTTTTTTTTTTTTTTTGAGACAGAGTTTTGCTCGTTACCCAGGCTGGAGTGCAATGGTGTGATCTCGGCTCACCACGACCTCCGCCTCCTGGGATCAGGCAATTCTCCTGCCTCAGCCTCCTGAGTAGCTGGGACTACAGGCACGCGCCACCACGCACAGCTAATTTTTTGTATTTTTAGTAGAGACGGGGTTTCACCATGTTGACCAGGATGGTCTCAATCTCTTGACTTTGTGATCCACCCGCCTCAGCCTCCCAAAGTGCTGGGACTACAGGCTTGAGCCACTGCGCCCGGCCTATAAGCTTTTAAATTGTTTAAACTTTGTGATCCTTTTATGATAAATCTTAGTTTAAAACACAAACCGGCCCAGCACAGTGGCTCATGCTGGCAATCCCAGCACTTCGGGAGGCTGAAGCGGGGTGAATCACCTGAGGTCAGGAGTTCGAGACTAGCCTGACTAACATGGTGAAACCCTATCTCTACTAAAAATACGAAAAATTAGCCGGGCATGGTGGCATATGCCTGTAATCCCAACTTATTTGGGAGGCTGAGGCAGGATAATCAGTTGAACCTGGGAGATGGAGGTTGCAGTGAGCAGTGCCATTAACTTCAGCCTGGGCAAAACGAGTGAAACTCTGTCTCAAAAAAACAAAAATAAAACACAAACACATTGTACAGCTCTACAAAGTATTTTCTTTCTTGATATCCTTAGTCTATAAGCTTTTTTGTATTTTTAAATTTTATTCTTTTTTCCTCGAGACAGAGTCTCGATCTCTTGACTTCATGATCCACCCGCCTCGGCCTCCCAAGTGCTGGGATTACAGGCATGAGCCACTGCGCCTGGCTAAATTTTTAAAAAAATTTTAGGCCATGCATGGTGGCTCAGCCTGTAATCTCAGCACTTTGGGAGGCCGAGGTGTGCAGATCAAGAGGTCAAGAGATGGAGACCATCCTGGCCAACATGGTGAAACCCCGTCTCTACAAAAAATACAAAAATTAGCTGGGCGTGGTGGCACACACCTGTCGTCCCAGCTACTCTGGAGGGTGAGGCAGGGGAATAGCTTGAACCTGGGAGGCGGAGGTTGCATTGAGCTGAGTTTGCGCCACTGCACTCCAGCCTTGGTGACAGAGCGAGAATCTGGCTCTAAATAAAAATAAATAAATAAATATTTTTTCTTTAAAACTAAGACATGTATTTATTTTTTTCGAGATGGAGTCTTGATCTGTCACCCAGGCTGGAGTGCAGTGGCATGATCTCGGCTCACTGCAACCTCTACCTCCTGAGTTCAAGCGATTCTCCTGTCTCAGCCTCCCAAGTAGCTGGGACTACAGGCACGTGCCACTGTGTGCAGGGGTTTCACCATGTTGGCCAGGATGGTCTTGATCTCTTGATCTCTTGATCTGCCCGCCTCGGCCTCCCAAAGTGCTGGGATTACAGCTATGAACCACTGCACCCAGCCTAAGACACAGGTTTATTAGTCTAGGCCTACACAGGATCAGGATCATCAAGATATCATTTGGTGATAGGAATTTTTCAGCTTCCTTATAATCTTATGGGGACCACTATCATATATGCAGTCCATTGTTGACTGAAACATGGTTATGCAGCATATGACTGACTTTATTCAAAGTATTAATCATATCTTGGTGTTTATGACATATATTTTGAGACAGAATGAGAAAGGACGTCTGGCTAATTGAGCATGTGTGGATAACATAGTACTCCATTCATTTGTGCTATTCATGCCTCTCTCATTCTGCTTCCCTAGTTATGTGAAGAACTGTTTGAAAAAATTAATGACAACTGTAATGAAGAAATGTCTTACTCTGTAGAGGTGAGTGCAGCCATGAGTTGACACCAGAGGCCCTTGTTTTACATTCCCTCAAGCATGACTTTTAAATGGCTCCAAATTATGACTGTGGTACAGGTCACTTAACCATTTCTTCAGTTTTGTTCTTTTAGGCTATTTGTGGGTTTTGGGTATAATGAATCATGTCATAATTTAATCTTTTTTTGCTGTGGGGGCGGGCATTGGGGGACAGGGTCTCACTTGGTTGCTCAGGCCCTGGAGTACAGTGGCATGATTATAGCTCACTGCAGCCTTGACTTTCTGGGCCTGAGTGATCCTACCTCTTCAGCCTCTTATAGCTGGGACTATGGTGTGTGCCACCACCACCCATGGATAATTGATTTTTTTTGTAGAGACAGAGTTTCCCTATGTTGCCCAGGTTGGTTTTGAATTCTTGGGCTCAAGCAGTCTTCCCTCCTCTACCTCTGAACGTACTGGGATTACAGTGTGAGCCACTGAACCCAACCACAGTTACGTCTTTGTTCATAAGTGTATGCATTTATTTTCAGTTATTATCTTTTGTATGTTTCTTGGTGTTTAAATAATACATTTGAATTGCCAATTGCCTTTTTAGAAATTAAGACTGTGTAACAGTTTTCACTCACACCAGGAGGGTGCAAGCACCATTGTGCCCTTCCCAACATTTAGTATTTTCAATTTTTTAATCTTTGGTAATTTGATAATGTAAGTATTCTCTTATTTAAATTTGAATTTCTTTGATTATTAGTGTGATTGAACATCTTGTAAATTATGTGTTGCCTTTACATTTTGGGTTTGCGGTGTTTTTCTGATTTATTTGTGGGAACTCTCCTCCTTTAATTTTTTTTTTTTATTATTTTTTTTTCTTTTTTTTTTTTTGAGACAGAGTTTCGCTGTTGTTACCCAGGCTGGAGTGCAATGGCACGATCTCGGCTCACCGTAACCTCCGCCTTCTGGGTTCAAGCAATTCTCCTGCCTCAGCCTCCTGAGTAGCTGGGACTATAGGCGTGCGCCACCATGCCCAGCTAATTTTTGTATTTTTAGTAGAGACGGGGTTTCACCTTGTTGATCACAATGGTCTCGATCTCTTGACCTTGTGATCCACCCGCCTTGGCCTCCCAAAGTGCTGGGATTATAGGCGTGAGCCACCGCGCCCGGCCTTTAATTTTTTTCTTTAAAAAAGTGATGATACATAGGTTTCCAACTCCTAGGTAGTGGCTTTCTAATTTTTTTTGTGTGTGTGAGACAGAGTCTTGCTCTGTTGCCAGGTGCCAGGCTGGGGTGCGGTGGCGAAATCTTGGCTCACTGCAGTCTCTGCATCCTGGGTTCAAGCAATTCTTCTGCCTCAGCTTCCAGAGTAGCTGGGACTATAGGTGCACGCCACCATGCCCAGCTAATTTTTGTATTTTTTTTTAGTAGAGACAGGGTTTCACCATGTTGGTCAGGATGGTCTCAATCTCTTGACCTCATGATCTGCCCACCTTGGCTTCCCAAAGTGCTGGGATTACAGGCGTGAGCCACCGTGCCCTGCCTAATATTGTTAATAATGGTTTTTGATAGGCATAGGTTTTAAATATATTTAATCAAATCTCCCCCACTTCCCGCTTTTTTAATTGCTTACAAAAACTTGGAAAGTAATTATCCATTCTGTGTTTACCCTGGCTCTTTCATGAAGTCTATAGAATTACTTCATACATATTTGTTTATTTGATAAGCATTCCCTCTGTTTTGTATGTGCTTTAAGAAGCTGTTTTGAGGCTGGGCATGGTGGCTTAAGCTATAATCCCAGCACTTTGGAAGGCAAGTGGATCATTTGAGGCCAGGAGTTTGAGACCAAACTGGCCAACATGGCAAAACCCCATCTCTACTAAAGGTACAAAAAATTAGCTGGATGTGGGGGTGCATACCTGTAATCCCAGCTACTCGGGAGGCTGAGGCATGAGCAATTTCTTGAACCCAGGAGGCAGAGGTTGCAGTGAGCTGAGATCATGCTACTGCACGCCAGCCTGGGTGACAGAGCAAGAGTGTCTCAATAAAAAAAAAACTGCTGCTGTTTCTCTCTTTTTCCATCTCTCTCTAACCACTCCCCACACCCTTTTTTGGTATTTACTTTCATAACAACTGAAATATTAAAGTGTTCTGTTACCTTGAGTCTGTTTTGAAAAAAATAGCTGCCTTTTAAGCAATCTTGAGTTTGTTTGTTTTTTTTTTTTTTGGTATACGTTGTGATTCTCTGTAGGCTTACAGCATTTCATTCCTAGTTAACTTACTTAATTGCTTTAGGTTTTTTTTCTTTACCTTTAAGATGTTGCATAAATGTATAAATTGTAAGGAATTCTGCCTTGTGAACTGTCATACACCAAAAAGAGAATGTGCTGCTCTAAGCATATTTTGTGTTACAGTAAATTTTCTGAATAGCTTGTTTCATAGTTATTCTTTTTTGAATCAGGTGAATTTTTGAGCTTACAGGTAATAAAAGAAGATGCCCTTTTCTTTCATATTAGTCAGAGTTCCCAGGCTTACTTGGAGTGGAGCATAGATTCCTAGTTGACACTGGTTTTTTGCCACATTCGTGGGACCTCTCTACCTGCCTCTTCTACTTCCTTCCCTGTTTACTTTGCTCCACCCATACTGGCTTTTTTGCTGTTTCAAGAACATACCAGAAACATTCCTGCTTCAAGGCCTCTACATTGACTTTTCCTCCTGCCTCTAATGTTCTTTGCTTGGATGTCATTTTGACTAAGTTTTTCACGTTCAAGTCTCCTTAAATCTCACTCTCTCAATGAGACTTACCTTGACCACTTTATTTAATACTGTACCTGGCCCTTTACCCCACATTCTGAGCTCTCTTGCCCAGTTCTAATTTCTTTTTTCTATTTTCAGCATATTTTAACATGCTTTCTCAGTTACCTATTTTTTATGTTTGTTGTCGATCATCAGTGTCCCTTGCTAGAAGCATAAGCTCACTGGGACAGGGTCCTTTGTCTGTTTCATTTAGTGATGTGTACCAGTTGCCTAGATTAGTGCCTGTAAGAGAAGGGTGCTCAGTGAGTTGAATCTGCCAGATGGCATCTGGAGTGGTTAGTGCATAAGTAAAAAAAATGATGATGGCCACATGTACCCCAGAACTTAAAGCATAATAAAAAAAAATTTTTTTTTAAACCAAAGAAATGATGATGCCTTTGGATGGACTCACATATCAGAGAATAAGGAATGGAGCACATGAACTTTTACCCAGATTCTTTGGGTTCTCTTTGTCTCACATTTGTGTGAAAAGGGATGAGTGTTCCAAAAGATCTAATATATTCTTCCGGGGATTCAGGATTATATGTACAAATTTAAGTACATAGCAATGATTGAAGAGTCATCTCACTTTCTAGGATGACTTGCTGTCAGAAGAATATTTGTTGTTCTTTTATTTTACTCTCAGATTAATTGCTTTATCTTTCAGGGTTGCTTTTTTTTTTGAGACAGAATCTTGTTCTGTTGCCCAGGCTGGAGTGTAGTGGCTCGGTCTCAGCTCAATGCAACCTCCACTTCCCAGGTTCAATTGATTCTCCTGCCACAGGCTCCCAAGTAGCTGGAGTTATAGGTGCCTGCCACCATGCCTGGCTAATTTTTTGTAGTTTTAGTAGAGATGGGGTTTCACCATGTTGGCCAGGCTGGTCTCCAACTCCTGACCTTGTGATCTACCTGCCTCGGCCTCCCAAATTGCTGGGATTACAGGCATGAGCCACCACGCCCGGCCTTTTTTTTTTTTTTTTTTTTTTTTTTTTGACAAGGTCTTGCTCTGTTGCCCATACTGGAGTACAGTGGTGCAAACAGGGCTCACTACAGCCTTGACCTCCTGGGCTCAGTGATCTTCCTGCCTCAGCCTCCTGAATAATCTGGACCACAGGCATGTGCCATAATGCATGGCTCCCAAAATACTGGGCTTACAGGCATGAGCAACTGCATCTGGCCAAGTTCTCAATTTTTTTTTTTAAAGACAGTCTCACTCTACCGCCAGGCGCCAGGTTGGAGTGCAGTGGCACGATCTTGCCTCACTGCAACCTCTGCCTCCTGGGTTCAAGCAATTCTCCTGTCTCAGCCTCCCGAGTAGCTGGGTCTACAGGTTCGTGCCACCACACCCAGCTAATTTTTGTATTTTAGTAGAGACAGGGTTTCACCATGTTGGTCAGGATGGTCTCGATCTCTTGACCTTGTGGTCTGCCTGCGTCGGCCACCCAAAGTGCTGGGATTATAGACGTGAGTCACCACGCCCGGCCCAAGTTCTCAATTTTTTAAAACTGATTTTATTATTTTATCTTATTTATTTATTTATTTTTAGAGACAGGGTCTCTCACTGTCACCCAGGCTGGAGTGCAGTGGTGTGATCTTGGCTTACTGCATCTCTGACCTTCTGGGCTCAAGTGATCACTTTGGACCACTGGCACACACCACCACATCTGGCTAAGTTTTTGTATTTTTGGTAGAGATGGGGTTTTACTATGTTACCCAGGTTGATCTGGAACTCCTGAGCTCAGGCAATCTGCCCACCTTAGCCTCCCAAAGTGCTGGGATTCTGGGCATGAGCCACTGCACCCAACCTTTAACTGATTTTAAAATACAAAATAAGGCTGGGTGCGGTGGTTCATGCCTAGAATCCCTGTACTTCAGGAGGCCAAGATGAGAGGATTGCTTGAGCCCAGGAGTTCAAGACCAGCCTGGGCAACATGGTGAGACCCTGTCTCTACAAAAAAAAAAAAAAAAATTAAAAATAGCTAGGTGTGGTGGCATGTGCCTGTAGTCCCAGTTACTCCAGAGGATGAGGCAGGATTGCTTAAGCCCAGGAAGGCAAGGCTGCCATGAGCTGCATTTGAGCCACTGCACCCCAGCCTAGGTGACAGTTTAAGATTCAGTCTCAAAAAATATATAAAAATAAAAAGAAAATACAGTATACAAATACAGTGAGAGAGTGAATGAAAGAAAATGGCAATTGAAATGGGATTAAGGTTCCATTCCAGATACTCTGAAAAGTGTCTATAGATACTTAAAGTTTAAAAATGCAGGAGCTGTAGTGTGTGCTTAAATAACTCCATGATAGAGAAGGATCTGTTTCCTGGGTAACATCTTAATGTGCCCTGTTGTGGTGAATTTATCCCAGTTCAGAGCCTTGTTTGCTTAGAAGTCTGATTTTGTAGAGACATCAAGAAAAGGACTATCCTTCAAAGTTAAGACTCTTTGAATAAAGTTCATTTGACTTATGTGATAACCAACTTGTTGGTTTGTTACTTTCCCATGAGAAATAACTATTACTAAGGCCAGAATGTTTGCAACACTAATATATTATCTTTCTGTGGACAGACCTCTGTTGGAACCCTGTTGGTTGTTTGGTGTGCGTGGAATTAGAGGGCGAGAAGTTGCTTAGATACATGTTAAGAAATGATAGCCTAATGCATTCATCATCATGATGGGAATTGTCCTGCCAGTGGGACAAGAATTTATGAAGTATATTGTCTGAGGCTTCTTTCTCCCCCACAAATCTAGGATAGGTCCACCAGCTTTCATGCTGATCTACCCTTATCCCTTCTGGTCGATACATTGTCCAAGTTAGTAACAGTGTGGTCAGTCTTTTTTTTTTTTTTTTTCCCCCTGAGATGGAGTCTCACCCCGTCACCCAGGCTGGAGTGCAATGGCATGATCTCAGCTCACTGCAACCTCTACCTCCCAGGTTCAAGCACTTCTCCTGCCTCAGCCTGCCGAGTAGCTGGGATTACAGGCATGTGCCATGGTGCACGCCACCACGCCCGGCTAATTCTTTTGTATCTTTAGTAGAGACAGGGTTTCACCATGCTGGCCAGGCTGGTCTCAAAGTCCTGACCTTGTGATCCATCCATCTCAGCCTCCCAAAGTGCTGGGATTACGGGAGTGAGGTACTGCACCCGGCCGGTCAGGCTTAGTTAGCCTCACCCTTCTGTTTTGTCTTCTCAGCTCTATAGTATTGATATTGTTACTTGGTTTTAATTCTAATAGAGGTCTTATTTCTAAGCTCTTAGAGTATCAGTGCAAATCCTAGTTATTGACAACAGTATACATTTTAAAAAACATATTGATAACTTATAAATTGCTGCTTAAATATTTTTTAGCAGTCACTACATTCCAGAGATAACCTGTTCACCTCTTCCTTACCAGGAAAGTCTGAAGGCTGGTTCTCACTTAGGCAGTGTGATTATCTGTACATATTGTTAATAGAATAAAAGGGCCTAAAGTTACGGCATTTCACTTTGTAAAGGTTGCAGATCTCTAATCTTAGAGTTTTTAATAAAAGTTAATTTTTTTTTTCTGTGTGTGATTACTTTTCCTTTCTTTTCCTTTCCTCTCCTTCCCTCCCCTCTCCCCTTTCTTCTTTCTTCTTTCTTCTTTTTGACAGTATCATTCTGTTGCCCAGGCTGAAGTGCAGTGGCAGGATTTCGGCTCACTGCAGCCTCCACCTCCTAGTTTCAGGAGATTCTCCTGCCTCAGCCTCCCGAGTAGCTGAGACTACAGGCATGTGCCACTACACCTGGCTCCTTGTTGTATTTTTAATATAGACGGGGTTTCATCATGTTGGCCAGGCTAGTCTGGAACTTGTAGTTCTAGTGATCTCAAGTGATTCGCGCCCCCATTGGCCTCCCAGAGTGCTGGGATTACAAGCATGAGCCATTGCACCTGGCCTCTGTATGTGATTTCTTTTTCTGTCTTCTAATTCACTTTACTAATTTGTTCATAGGTGAGCTACATGGAAATTTACTGTGAAAGAGTACGAGATTTGCTGAATCCAAAAAACAAGGGTAATTTGCGTGTGCGTGAACACCCACTTCTTGGGCCCTATGTGGAGGATCTGTCCAAGTTGGCAGTTACTTCATACACAGACATTGCTGACCTCATGGATGCTGGGAACAAAGCCAGGTATGATAGGAAATAGAGTCAGGACTGAGGTCTTTTGCATGTTTTGAGGCCCTTTGTTCCCAGTTAAGGGTTTGAGGCCACATTTATACCTATGAAAGTTGCTTGAATTGTGGAGTCCTCTGATCCTTTGACTGTGCTGTAACTATGAGGGCTTCAGCATGTCAAGTATCTTCTCATCTAAACAGTGCATTGCTGAAACATTTTAGAGCTCTGGTTAAGTTTTACTCTTAGGTTTTGATCAAGTCATGGTAAAATGTTAGTTATGTATATATGTGGCTATGGTGGTAATTGATTCTGGAATAAATGAACAGTAATAAAGAATAAAAATTAAATGCTTCATTGGTTTCTAAAGGGATAGCTGGAGTATGAAAAATGATTCTGATGGGGTGCCTTTGGAATTGGAGAGTAACTAAATGGGCTCACAAATAAGGCAGTATTGAGAGCAATTATGCAAGTGACAATCTTGCAATCTGTGAATAAGTTTAAGACTATTGCTTGTGATTGTAATGCCTATAATGTGGAGCCTGCTGTCCATTTCAGCTCTCATCTAAGAATTCCATTGTCACGTGGTCACCTTTATGTTTATTTAGGACAGTGGCAGCTACGAACATGAATGAAACAAGTAGCCGTTCCCACGCTGTATTTACGATTGTTTTCACCCAGAAGAAACATGATAATGAGACTAACCTTTCCACTGAGAAGGTAGGAGAACTTCAGTCTCTAGGTTTGAGTTGTGAAGGATGGAGATTTTGAGAAGTCCCTTTTTTTGCCCTCTGCTTTTTGTGAAAGGTTGGGTGTTGGGGGGTGCTCTTTAACTTAATGGAGGGTGTTTTATAGCCGCTGCTTATCATTTTTCTTTCACCTTATACGAGTTTTCTGTATAGGTTCTTAAATGAAGATGCAAGATAGAGAATATAGTTAAGAAAAAAGCAGTCCAGGACTTTGGGTCTCAAAAACTACTAAATACAAGACAGTTAAGCAGTCTCACAGGAGAAAATTGTTTCTTTTCCTCTTGAGTGGAATCTTTTTATTATTACCTTATTAGCTGCCTTTGGTATGCGTATTCTTTTTTTTTTTTATTTTTTGAGCTATGTTATAGTGGGATTAAATGTTTAAGCAAGTGATATATTTTATTCCTGGAAAATAACTCCACAGCAGTTTTGATGTTCTTCAAATACCTTTGCTTATTGATTTTTCATTTTCTATTGTGGTTAAATGTCACAGACTTTACACTTAGATTGCTTGCATTGAATTCTGATTCTGGGCAAACTACTTAACTTCTTTGTTTCTCAGTTTCCCCATCCATAACAGCCTGATAGGATTGTTAAAAGGATTAAATATTAATATAGGTTAAGTGCATATAATAATGTCTTTCACAGAGTAGCCACTCAATAATGTTAATTTTATTATTATTGTTTTTTTGAGATGGAGTCTCACTCTGTAGCCCAGGCTAGAGGGCAGTGGCGCGACCTCACCTAATTGCAACCTCTGCCTCCCTAGCCCGGTTCAAGCAATTCTCCTGCCTCAGCCTCCCGAGTAGTTGGGATTACAGGCACACGCCACCATGCTCAGCCAATTTTTCTATTTTTAATAGAGACGGGTTTTATCATGTTGGCCAGGCTGGTCTTGAACTCCTGACCTCATGATCCACCCACCTCGGCCTCCCAAAGTGCTAGGATTACAGGCATGAGCCTCCACACCCAGACTGTTATTATTGTTAATAACAGAAAATTGGGGCCAGGCGCGGTGGCTCACGCCTATAATCCCAGCACTTTGGGAGGCTGAGGCGGGTGGATCACAAGGTCAAGAGATCGAGACCATCCTGGTCAACAAGGTGAAACCCCATCTCTACTAAAAATACAAAAATTAGCTGGGCATGGTGATGCGCGCCTGTAGTCCCAGCTACTCGGGAGGCTGAGGCAGGAGAATTGCTTGAACCCAGGAGGCGGAGGTTGTGGTGAGCCGAGATCGTGCCATTGCACTCCAGTCTGGGTAACAACAGTGAAACTCCATTTCATAAAAAAGAAAAACATTGATGTCAAATACTACTTTGTCTGTATTCCTAAGAAGGATGCAACTGGATTTTTAAATTTGAAGTTAGGTTTATTGTGTTGGTAATTATACAAGATCCTTTGCCTTATAAAATGAGTACTTTAGATACCACTGTCACTAATTACTAGATCACCTTTTATTTGGTGACTTATTTCTAGCTGAAAATGATTCTTAAAAATATACTTCTCCTGGGCACAGTGGCTCACATCTGTAATCCCAGCACTTTGGGAAGCTGAGGCAGGTAGATCACCTGAGATCAGGAGTTCAAGACCAGTCTGGCCAAAATGGTGAAACCCTGTCTCACACAAATACAAAAAATTAGCTGGATGTGGTGCTGTGCACCTGTAATCCCAGGTATTCTGGAGGCTGAGGCAGGAGAATTGCTTAAACCCGGGAGGTGGAGGTTGCAGTGAGCTGAGGTTGCACCATTGCACTTTAGCCTGGGCAAAAAGAGCAAAACTTCATCTGAAAAAAGAAAAGTCCAGGCACAGTGGCTCATGCCTGTAATCCTAGCAGTTTGGGAGGCTGAGGCGGGTGGATCACGAGGTCAGGAGATAGAAACCATCCTGGCTAACATGGTGAAACACTGTCTCTAATAAAAATACAAAAAATTAGCTGGATGTGGTGGCATGCATCTGTAGTCCTAGCTCCTCGGGAGGCTGAGGCAGGAGAATCACTTGAACCCAGGAGGCAGAGGTTGCAGTGAACCGAGATTGCATCACTACACTCCAGCCTGGGCGACAGTTTATTTGTTAGTATTTATCTGAATGGCAGCAAAGAACATTGCATATGGAAGTATGTTTTGCCCTTCTCTCATGATGTGGAATCTACAAAATTAATGTTAATCACATAATCATAGCTTTCCTGATAATCCCTTTTGGATACTTTTATCTAACCATTCCTGAAGCTTTATTTTTTTATTACAACTTTATTGAGGTATTATTGAAGTATACAGCAAAGTGCACATATGTAAAGCATAAAATTCAGTCAGTTTTGACATATTTGTATGCCTGTGAAACCAGTGCCACAATTGAGAAAATATATATATATTTTTTTATAGAGACGGGGTTTTGCCATGTTGGACAGGCTGGTTTCGAACTCCTGACCTCAAATGATCCACCTACTTCAGCCTCCCAAAGTGCTGGGATTATAGGCATGAGCCACCATCCCTGGCCGAGAATTTTTATTATTCTCAAAAGTTGCTTCATACTTCTTCTCTGTCTTTCTCTATCCCTTCTTCTATTGCAATCCCTAGGCAATTCTGGGCCTGCCTTTTGTCACTATATATTAGTTTACATTTTCTAGAATTTTATATAAATGGAATCATAGAGTACGTACTGATTTTTTGATCAGGCCATTTACTTACTTAGCATAGTGATTCTGAGATTTATTTATGCCCTTGTGTTTATCAGTAGTTCCTTTTCATTGCTGATGAGTATTGCACTGTACAGATACACCACAGTTTATTATTTCAGCTGTTGATGGGCTTTTAAACTGTTTGCAGTTTTTGATGAAGCTGCTATGAACATTTGTCTACAAGTCTTTGTGTGAACATTTGTTTTTGTTCTCTTGGTAAATACTTAGGAGTAGGATGATTGAGTCTTATTATAGCTTCTTAAGGAATGTCAAATTATTTTCCGAAATGATTGTGCAATTTTATATTCCCACCAACAATAGGTAAGAGTTCCAGTTGCTTAAAGCTTCATTTTTAGTATGCCATTTAATGAGTTGATGAGTTTTATATATTTTTATAACATACTCTAGTAAAATATGTCATGTTTATCCTAAAGATACTTTTCTTGAACTGCGATAATTGCTATGAATTTTGTGCATGCTCTTTTTGTTTTTAATTAAAAATTTTTTTTGTAGAGACCCAAGATTCTCCAATGTTGCCAGGCTGGGGTACAGTAGACAGCTTTGAACTCGTGGGCTCAAAGAAGCTTCCCAAGTAGCTGGGACTCCAGCCGTGCGCCACTGCACCTTCTGTGCATGCTGTTTAAGCTGACTCTGATATATGTTGTCTTCATCTTTTTGTGTCATATTTAAGAGCTCTAATACTTTAACTTTTCTCTATACCATAATCCTTTAAAAAGCATTCTGCCTCTAAATGTTTTCTACTTCTATCTTCCTTATTTTTGAATTGCCCCCATGTTATTTTTCTTTATCAGGTCAGTAAAATCAGCTTGGTGGATCTAGCAGGAAGTGAACGAGCTGATTCAACTGGTGCCAAAGGAACTCGATTAAAGGTATTTATTTTAGCAAATAAATGGCCTGATCAATAAATGTTCTGTACCATGTATCAGCAAAGTGTGGCTAGTGGGCCAAATTCAGCCCACTAGCTATTTTTGTAAGTAAAATGTTATTGAAACACAGCTACATACATTTGTTTATGTATTGTCTATGGCTGCTTTTGCACTACAATGGCAGTGTTGTAACAGAGACCATATGGCTCCAAAAACCTAAAATAATTTGTGTCTGTCCTTTTATGGAAAAATTTTGCAGACTCTTGATCTGTAATTTCAATAGAAGGATGAGTTATCGAACTAAATAGTTAGGGAGAATGTCATAGAGTGAGAGTTGAATTGCATTTTGAGGAACAGGCAGCGTTTGGCTAGATGGAATTAAGAGATGGCCGTGGGAAAAGGATATACAAGATTCAGATGTGAGAAGAACAGAAATTTCATGTCGATGAGTTGAGGGAAGAAGGCTGCACACATCTGTAAGCTTTTGGAGCACAAACATCTCGAGGATACTTTAGGACTGTGAGTTAGGCTTGTGGTCTCAGCATGTTATTATCAAGTGGAGAAGAGGACAGATAGAGGACTAAATGTCGTTTTTAGAACTTGTAGTAATAAAGAGATATGCTAGCATAGGGCAAATCATATTTTATGTTCTGTATTATATGGCAGTAGTAGAAATTCTTCATCATAATTCTTTCATTTTTGGTATTTATTTTAGGAAGGAGCAAATATTAATAAGTCTCTTACAACTTTGGGCAAAGTTATTTCAGCCTTGGCCGAGGTGGTAAGTTCTATACTTCATTGTAAAGGGAGTTGTGTCTATTCAGCAAATATACTTGATAATATTTTATTATTGTCTATGAAGGCTGTCCTTCTGTGGCCCTTTTATGTGATCTTGCCTTTCTCCTTTAGAGCTTTTCAGATAAGATACTAGGTATAACACAGTTTGACTTTGTACTGAAAGTAAAAGAGATTAAGGAGAACAAAAGTAAATATAGATCTATAAAAACTAGAGCCAACACTTAATGTTTGTCTCATTTTTTGAGCCTTATTTTAATTATGTCTCTCACAAAAATCAAGTATATTTATTATCTCTTCTTTTCCTATGCAGTCTTTTCTGAGTAGGATGCAGTATCTTTTGGAGTATTTTGAACAGTTTGGCTTTGGTGAATGTAGTTGATTTGAGGGCCAGTAGTGTTTTTCCCCCAGTTGTTTTATTCTTTCCTATATTTTAACAATAGAACACTAAAGCCAAAACATTTTTTTAAATTAGGGCCTTAATTATCTACATTACTTAAATTAGTCACTGTGTGTTCTAGTTCAGTTTAATACCTCATTTTAATTGCTAAGAAGAATGAAATGCTTTCTTGCTTGCCTTGGAGAAATTATAATCTCTGTTATAAAATTTAAACAAATTATAATTTCTACGTGGAGGCTTATCCTGTGTTCTTGTTTTCTCTTTTAAATGCTTTCACCTGTAGGATAACTGCACTAGCAAGGTATGGTGGGGATTGGTAGAGATAAACTAACTGTAGAATTGACTTTTATGTTTTAAATCCTCATCAGGATGTATGGAAGCATAAGTAGGAATGGAGCCTTCAAAAATCTTTTCATCATTTGTTTTCTGGCCCTGAAATTTAGAGTGGCTGTTTAGGGTGACCACAAATCATGAGATTTCACACCAAAATTAATTTATAGAACATGATCTTCTTTAGAGAAGGAATTAAGAATAAATAAACAAGGCGGGGCACAGTGCTCATGCCTGTAATACCAGCACTTTGGGAGGCTGAGACAGGTGGATAATTTGAGATCAAAGTTTGAGAACAGCCTGGCCAACATGGTGAAACCCCATCTCTACTAAAAATACAAAAATTAGCTGGGCGTGGTGGCATGTGACCAGAGTGTCCCAGCTACTCAGGATTTTGTTTTGTTTTGTTGAGACAGAGTCTCGTTCTGTCACCCAGGCTGGAGTACAGTGGTGTAATCTCACCTCACTGCATACTCTGCCTCCCAGATTCAAGTGATTCTTCCTCAGCCTCCCAAGTAGCTGGGGCTACAGGTGCGCAGGACTACATGCGTGAGCCACCGCATCCAGCCTACTCAGGGGTTTTAAACTGAGATATTAGGCCTCAGGGATTGCATAGTGGAATGAAAGTCTGTTCCACTAATCTGAATGACCGAAAGGCTTAATTCTCCCTTGAGGTCTGTGCAATCTAAAATTGAACCTGCTATTGGAAATGAGTTTCTGATTGGTGGATTATGTGTCTGTGGGTGGGATGAGATGATGTGGATATATTTTATAAGAAATGGAATTAAAATGTTTCTTGCCTACTCCTTTTCCTCCTCAAAAAAATAAAGAAACAGAGGCCAGCCACTTAGTACTCTTTTTCTGAATAGAAAATGTGCTTGTGCAAGTAGTAGGATCATCCTTAGTTTACCACTGGATTATACCAAGACTGCAGGACTGGATTATCAAACTGGTGATTTGAGGCCCTGGTTTTCCCCTTAGTAGCTTCTCCTTTTTTTTTTTTTTTTTTTTTTCTTTGAAACTGAGTCTCTTGCTGTTGCCGAGGCTGGGGTATAGTAGCACAATCTCAGATCACAGCAACCTCTACTTCCCAGGTTCAAGCGATTCTCCTGCCTCAGCCACCCAAGTAGCTGAGATTACAGGTGTCTGCCACCACCCCCAGCTAATTTTTTGTATTTTTAGTAGAGACAGGGTTTCATCATGTTGGCCAGGCTGGTCTCGAACTCCTGACCTCAGTGATCTGCCCACCTCAGCCTCTCAAAGTGTTGGGATTACAGGTGAGAGCCACTGCACCCGGCCTCCCCTTAGCAGCTTCTTAAAGTGTCGCAACATGGTAGTCAGCCAGCAGATATTTGAATAGCTGTTAACCTGTAAAGCATTTGCATTAATTTTTACTTTTAGAGAATATAATATTTTTTCATTTTAGCACTGCCTTTTTGTTGGTGCTTTTTGCTTTATCCTGTGGTGGTAATAAGAAGGATCATGAAGAAAGCTGTATAAGTAGACTTAATAGAACATTCGTCTTGAAACTTACAGATTTCTAAATTTGCAAATCATATCACTTTCTTAGACCTTTTTACTTTTAGTCTTTGCTTCAGTAATTGGATTATTTTTGGCATAACTTCCTTTCAAAGACCAAACGAGTATTATTTTACATGAGTTAGTAGATTTGCAACAACCCACCCAATGACATTGTGATTGGCCAAGTAAATTCACTAACTAGATGATTTGATCCTACTCATTAAACCTGGAATGTACAGGATTCGTATGTGTCCCTCTGCAAAAATAAAAATGGAGGACTGGGTATTAGATGATGTTAGGGAATTATTATTTATTTTGGTAAGATGTGATAATGGTACCTTCACGGTAAGAAAAAGAAAACCATATGGACAGGATATTAGGCAATAGTATTGTGTTGATGTTAAATTTTTAAAATTTGGTCATTGTTTTCTGTGTAAGAGAATGTTCTTATATGATGAAGTGTTTAGGGATAAATGGAGATGAGGTCTGCAACTGACTTCAAAATGGCTCAGGAAAATTAAAAAGTTGCAAAAAAGTGTTTGGGAGATAATTGAAAGATGATTGGCAGATTATTGATAATAGTTGAAGCTGTGTGTTGGGTATGGTAGCTCATTATATTGTTCTCTCAACTGTTTGTGTAAGTTACACATTTTTCAAAATAAAATGTAAAATGAAAACATTACCTTATTGCATGAGTTTTTGGTATTGTGAAGAATTGAAACTGTGAAGGATAAACTTCCACAGTGATGGAGTTGTACTGTAATTTGATTTACTTAGGAATTTTAGACTGATTGTGCCTTCTTGGGATTTTTTTTCCCTAACAAACAATGCTAAGACCATTCCTTTCTCTTTATAATAGAGTAAAAAGAAGAAGAAAACGGATTTTATTCCCTACAGGGATTCTGTACTTACTTGGCTCCTTCGAGAAAACCTAGGTATGTTGACCGCTATTGAAAAGTAGTTATCTTTTTAACTTTGATTCTCTTTTGTGGTTAATTGTCCTGTGTTTTGGAGACAAATAATGTCTAGATATTCATGTTACTACTTGAGTGTTCCTTGCCTGCTTTTGTTTTTACTCCTAATTTCTGTTGGGTGGATTCCTTGCTTTTAAGCCAGGGTATACTCCCATATCTCATTTACTTCAGGGAATGAACTGTGCAGTAGTTGTCTTCCCAACTCCCCATACCTGCTTCAAATGACTGCTCAGTCTTCAAAGTTATTTCAAAACTCCATGCCCCTCTGAGGTGCACAAAATCAGGCATTGCAAACCCTTATTTCTCTTCATTGCTGATGTTTTCAAGACCTTCAAGTCACTGTTATTCATTCACTTCTACTTTTTTTTGAGATGGAGTCTTACTCTGTTGCCCAGGCTGGAGTGTGGTGGTACAATCTCGGCTCACTGCAACCTCTGTCTCCTGGGTTCAAGCAGTTCTCCTGCCTCAGTCTCCCAAGTAGCTGGGATTACAGGCACACCACCGTGCCTGGCTAACTTTTTTTGTACTTTCAATAGAGACAGAGTTTCGCCATGTTGGCCAGGCTGGTCTTGAACTCCTGACCTCAGGTGATCCACCCACCTCGGCCCCGCAAAGTGCTAGGATTACAGGCATGAACAACCATGCCTGGCCACAGTTCTCCTACTTACTAGGAGGAGGGAGTGGTCAGCTGTGTGAAATGTTGCTAATAGAAGAGGCTGAAAATGGATTGCTGGGGTTATCCCCATTGCTAGTGACTTTCAAATTGCTAAGGGCAGTTTTGGTGGAATAGCTGAGATCTTGATTGGAGTGGGTGTAAGACAGAGTGGGAGGAAGGAACTAGACCCAGTAGATTCAGACATCAAAATTTGAATATAAGTATCTGGCATGGGGACATTTAAGAAATTTGACATTAGGCCAGGTGTGGTGGCTCACCCCTGTAATTCCAGCACTTTCAGAGGCTGAGGTGGGCAGATCACCTGAGGTCAAGAGTTCAAGAGCAACCTGGCCAACATGGCAAAACCCCATCTCTACTGAGAATACAAAAATTAGCAGGGTGTGGTGGTGGACGCCTAGAAAGAAAGAGAGAGAGAGAGAGAGAGAGATTGAGAGAGAGAGAGAGAGATAGATAGATATGGGGGGATAGAGGGATTTGACATTACATTAAATCTTAGGATCTGAGATTGTACCATGAGATTTGGCATATTCAGTAAAAATTTTCTGTTAAAATGAATGTGATTTGAGATACTCATGCTTAATCTTTTTAGGTGGCAATTCTCGTACTGCAATGGTTGCTGCTCTGAGCCCTGCAGATATCAACTACGATGAGACTTTGAGCACTCTGAGGTACTTTCTTTTGATCTCAGTAGTAACATACACCACATTGCCATCAGAAATCATTTTGTGATACTGTGGATGTTGTTATGCGGTCTGGGTAGTTATTTATGTAAATAATGGTCCTTTACTCTCATAACAGGGAAAGCTTAGGGTAAAAGTGATTTGCATTATAATAGAATTTACCTCTTTATGGTTTTCAGTTTCATTGGGAAAGGTATGAACTTTTTATTTATTTTTTAATCCCCCATGAATATCTAGATAAGGCAGGAACTTTTTCATAGGAAAGATTTTTAAATTGCTCAAGTGGGATTTTTGGATATCTTTTATATAATAGTGACATTTTCTTATAATATTCATTTCTATAAAAAGAAATGGTCTCCCTTCTCGTGGTGTTTGTCATAGAAATGCTGAAGTCGTCTGGGCACAATAGCTCAGTCCTGTAATCCCACCACTTTGGGAGGCCAAGGTGGGTGGATCACTTGAGGTCAGGAGTTTGAGAACAGCCTGGCCAACATGGTGAAACCCTGTCTCTACTAAAAATACAAAAATTAGCCAGTCGTGGTGGTGTGTGTCTGTAATCCCAGCTACTCAGGAGGCTGAGGCAGGAGAATTGCTTGAGCCCAGGAGGTGGAGGTTGCAATGAGCCAAGATTGCACCACCGCACTCCAGCCTGGAGACAGAGCGAGACTCCATCTCAAATAAAATGAAAGAAAAAAAAAAGAAATACTGAAGTCATAATAAGTAATAAAATTATAGGAGTATGTGGCAGTGTTAAAAATAACCAACATAGCCAGGTGCAGTGGTGTACACCTGTAGTCCCAGCTACTTGGAAAGCTGAGACAGGAGGATCACTTGAGCACAGCCTAGGCAACATAGTGAGACTCTGTCTCTTAAAAAAAAGAAAAAAACCAATTAACAGAATGTTCATGACAAGTTTTTTTTTGTTTGTTAGTTTTGGTTTTTGAGATGGAGTTTTGGTGTGTGGCCCATGCTAGAGTGCAGTGGCAAGATTATAGCTCACTGCAGCCTCAGACACCTGGGCTCATGTGATCCTCCTACTTCAGTCTCCCAAGTAGCTAAAACTACAGGCTCATGCCGCTAGGCCTGGCTAATTTTTAAAAATTTCTTGTAGAGATGGGGGGGTCCTGTTACATTACTCAGGCTGGTTTCAAATTCCTGGCTTCAAGTGATCCTCCCCACTTGGCCTCCTAAAGTATTGGTATTACAGGTGTGAGCTACCTTGTGAGGACTATTTTTTACATATGAATAAGTTTCATCATTTTAGTCTGGAACTTTCTGCCCTTCTTCCAGGAAAGGCACTTGATATAATGGAATGAACAGTAAGTACATAGTCTCATAAATTGAGTTTAAGTCCTCTCGCTGTTATTCATTTTCATTGTGATCTTGGGCAGATCACTTAAATTCATCTGAAGCTTTTTCTTCATCTTTAATAGGTACCATAAAGCTTTATACAAATGTATTCTTATCAAGACTCAAAAAATGTAAACACTCAGGATGTTTGATTTAGAAATTATTGTATGTTACTTATGAGAAGTAGAACGTATGAGAAATGACAAGAATGAACTTTTTTGATCTAGATATGCGGATCGTGCAAAACAAATTAAATGTAATGCTGTTATCAATGAGGACCCCAATGCCAAACTAGTTCGTGAATTAAAGGAGGAGGTGACACGGTTGAAGGACCTTCTTCGTGCTCAGGGCCTGGGAGATATTATTGATAGTAAGTGAATTAAGGATCATTACAAAATCTAATCCTTTCTTCTTCAAGGTTCTTACATTTAAAATAAACTTCAATTTAAGGAACACTATGAAGCTAAACGGTAGTGAAAATGTTTTTGTTTTTCTTTTTCCTTAAAAAGCCCAATGGAAGTGATCTCTAGATTCCTTTATGTAGTGGGTACGTGGCTATCCATTTGAACTCATGAAATTAGTTTTAAAATCATGAATATGTTACTAGTATTTTTGTTAGAATTCTTTTTTAGATCAGCAGTGAAGTTTATTTAGAATGTTAACCCTGTCACTGAGCAATTAATCACTTCATAGAAACGTTATTTGAAATTTTTGGTTTTGTTTCATGGGTTACTCTGGATTAGTATAGTGGCAGTAATATAAGAAATGCACATTGAGGCCTACCTTCAGATAAGATTCCCCTTTGAATGGCCCCCTCCTCCTATAAAATCATGGAGTACCCCCTGCTGCCTATGAACTTATGAAGGGGAAAACTTCAATTCTTATGAAGTTCAAAAACTACCCTTCCAGAGAATATTGTTTTATGATGTTGTATTAAAATTCATCTTAAAAATTCTCCGTGATGTGCCTGTACAATGGCTTATTCAGAAGTTCTCTTAAGTGAGTAAAGTGGATTATTTATATAGGAATAGAATATGGTAGAATATGGGTTGGTTTAGTAAAGCATTTTTTTTTTTAGTGTAAAATTAGTATTATATTCCTTGAAGTTCTAATAAGATTTTCAAGGCCTCTTATAGTTTAGTCTTACTGATTAGAGCCTCCGTTTAGATGAATACCATTTGTGAAAATGATAGCATCTTCTGAGTATTAACTTTTTCATCTCCCCAAATGCCAAAAAGTGCTCTGTTCGCTCTCTGTGTCACTGCTGAACCTGAACTTTGACCCTTCTCATATTTTCCCTCCTGCTTACCTTCAGTTGATCCATTGATCGATGATTACTCTGGAAGTGGAAGCAAATGTGTGTATTTCACATATTGGTTATTCCAGTACTCTGACTTGCTAATCTGCGTCTGCTGGATCAGCCTTAAAATCAGCTTTGCATGCCAGCAATCCTTACAGGGAAATCCCAGACAGAGCATCGTGTAGAATCAGAAATGATTCTATTTTTGCCCTTCTTCATTTAGCAAACTAATCTTTGCTGAATTTTAGTTTGTGGCTTGAGTGAAGTTGAAAGGCTTAAGAATCTCTTGCTGCTTCTACTCTTCCGTTTTTCCCATTGTGATTAAATTAAATCCAAAATTTAGATGATGATAGCAAACTGATACTTACTGATTGTTCATAATATGCCAGGCCCTATTCTAGGCACCTTGAATATATTATCTCTCTTATTTCTGTTAATGACTCTGAAAACATTTCATTATGTTTATTTTACCGATAATCATTTTCAGTCAACAAAAAATCTCTGTGATTGAAGAGCTCTGTAAATGTTGGGCTAACACTCATGGGTGCTTGTGCTAAGTTGCTTTTCTCCGTATCTTGGGCTTTGGATGGTTAGATAAACATTTTTTCCTCTTTTTTTTTTTGAGATGGTCTCTGTCACCCATACTGGAGTGTTATGGCATTATCGTGGCTCACTGCAGCCTGGAACTCTTGGGCTCAAGTGATCTTTTTACCCAGCCTCCTCAGTATCTGAGACTATAGTTGTGTGCTGCCACACCTGGCTAATTTTTTATTTTATTTATTTATTTATTTTTTGAGACGGAGTTTCACTGTTGTTACCCGGGCTGGAGTGCAATGGCACGATCTCGGCTCACCACAACGTCCGCCTCCTGGGTTCAAGCAATTCTCCTGCCTCAGCCTCCCGAGTAGCTGGGACTACAGGTGTGCGTGACCATACCTAGCTAATTTTTGTATTTTTTTAGTAGAGACAGGGTTTTACCACATTGGCCAGGATGGTCTCAATCTCTTGACCTCGTGATCCGTCCACCTCGGCCTCCCAAAGTGCTGGGATTACAGGCATGAGCCACTGCACCCAGCCTATTTTTTAATTTTTAATTTGTAGAGATGAGGAGTCTCACCGTTTCCCAGATAGAACTCCTGGCCTGGAACTTCTGGCCTCAAATAGTCCTCCTGCTTTGGCTTACCAAAGTGCCAAGATTACAGATATGAACCACCACAACCAGCCTTTCCTCTTTTCTTAAGTCACAAATTAAAATAACTTAGGTATCTAAAATGGGTGCTTGAGTTGAGAACATTTTTAAAGAATCACATGAACTTCAGTATTCTCTCCATATATATCATAAGTTGGTGAGGAAATTATTTCTTACCCTTTTAAGGTAATTAATCAAGAAATTGTTATCTTAGAAGAAAAAATTTTGATTTTGGGGTTAATTTTTAGATTCATACTGAGTTATTTCTACAGTAAGGTATGTATTGAGGCCTAGCAGACATTGAGAAAATACATAGGAGAAACCAAATATAGCCCTGGTTGTTATGAGGTTAGGGCTTGAAGGCACTATAATATCCTGATACAGAAGTGACTCTTGGACTGCAGCAGCTCTGTCTGAGATTTCCAAAGCTCAACGATACTGGTGTGGAAAAGGTGCCTTCTTGGTTTTGCTTTTGTGCTCAAGGTGTTGCTGCTGCCAAGCTTGTTGCCTACCGCTCTTAGCAGCTGTAGCGTTTCCTGAAAGATCATGCATGACTAAGTTTTAATTCTATATTGGTAAGAAAAGCAGCCCTGACTACTTCTCAATTTCCATTTTGATCCATTTCTCTTAATTCCTTTTAGGGCTTGCATGTGACCATTGGACCTAAACTCTGTCCATCCTGGTCTTTTCCCCCTGGTGCCTAATTTTTTGCTCTAATCCCTATTCCCCTTTTAAAAGATGCTGCTTTGCTTGTTTTCCTATGTTCTGTATTTGCAGATGGTGGTTTTCAAACTGTCTTGAGGCAACCACTGGCTTTCACGGAGTTAAAAAATTGACTTTAATTAAATAGTAGAGATGAGTAGGCCCAGAGAGAATTAATAGTATTTTTTCCAACTATGTGTATTGACTCATCTCCTTTAAGGAAAACTTACTTAGTTTTGATATGAATTTTAATTTCTCAAATTTAAAAATGAGCTAATTTTAAAGTTGGATTGCACCAATACTTACGGTTTACCTTTGGTGTCTTTTTGCGAAGGATGACTAATGAAAGAAAGTACAAATGGCAAATTAGTGAATTTTGTTGTTTGTGGCTTAATTTTTTTCTTTTACCAGTACTGAGTTTAAAAGCAAAATTAACAGTTCTGTTAGAGACTTAGTAAATAGAAGTATGTTTCTAAAACTTGCTTTTTATACTAGGAAACAGGCTTACCGGTGACCCGTGGTTGTACTGTTCGGCTAATTAAGTGCCTTACTTAAATTAGCAAAAAAAATCAGCCTTAGTTTTTGCTTGCTCTGATAGAAGAATGGAAACTACACTAAAACTCATTAATCTGCTAATTGTTCTCTATTGAGACAATCAGTTAGTGCTGAGTTTTTTTTTTTATCGCAAGTCCTGAGTTTTTAACCACGACTCAAAAAAATTCCTCTCACTTCTACAATTACCTCTTTTTAAATTTAAGACATATTTAAAAATCCTTTTAGCATGTTGAAATATTACCATACAAGGCAGGGCATGGTGGCTCATGCCTGTAATCCCAGCACTTTGGGAGGCCGAGGTGGGCGGATCACCTGAGGTCAGGAGTTAGAGACCAGCCTGGCCAACATGGAGAGACCCTATCTCTTTTAAAATAAATAAATAGAAATGTTGCCATACAAAGCATACTACTAAATGCACACATTTTTAACAGTAACATTTTCTTGGAAATTTTTGCTTAATTACGTAAAACACTGAGCAGACCAATATGGATTATTATTGATAGATAAATGATCATTGTTTTCCCTTACTGTTACAAACTACTGGAAAAGTGTAAATCTGAAGACATCGTAAACTTGGAACACTAGAGAGACTAAATGGAAGGTAGTTTGGCTTTTTTAGGGAGAGTGCCGAAGCAGTATCCTTGAGGCTCTAGTTTATCCCCCTACAAGATACGGTGTTAACCTACATTGGAATCTTTTTTGTTTGTAAATGCAGAAATGATTCTGAGCCTCTAGGATACCAGTATTCAAGACAGACATGTTTTAGAACTGCCATCTAGAACAGTTGTAACCTGTGTTTGTATCATAGTGTGTGTTTGTCTTGGCGCTTTAATGCTGTCCTTTCTTACAATGATATTCCTTCCTGTCTTTTTTTCTTCCTCTGCTTCTTTCCCTTTTCTCTACTTTTTCTGCCTTCTGTTCTATCTCCCAGATCTGAAAGATTTTCAGAACAATAAGCATAGGTACTTGCTAGCCTCTGAGAATCAACGCCCTGGCCATTTTTCCACAGCATCCATGGGGTCCCTCACTTCATCCCCATCTTCCTGCTCACTCAGTAGTCAGGTGGGCTTGACGTCTGTGACCAGTATTCAAGAAAGGATCATGTCTACACCTGGAGGAGAGGAAGCTATTGAACGTCTAAAGGTAAGTAATAGTTCAGACTGAATACAAGGTATTCTATATAGTAGTTCCACAAAGAACTAGGAGTAAAAATCACTAAGATTTCGATTGAGCATGTGGAGAACTCCGACTCTTAGAGGTGTTCTGAAGATTGAATTTTCTACTTTCTAAGTTAATTTGTTTTCACTAGAGTGCTTGAGTCTGACATGGCCAGGCAGAGATGGGAGATGGTAGAGGTACATGGGTAGTACATAGGCTGGCCATGCAGAGTAACCAATTAATAGATGTGAACATTAATTCTGGGGTAGTTTATCAAGTCACAGTGAAATTGTTTTGTTAGAAATTTATTTGGAAACATTTGGTTTCATTTGAAAATGGAATTCTGTATAGAGCCATGCTTCTGTTAATAAAGTTTGAACATTTGAGTAGCTGTTCCAGGTTTATTCAGATACATATTAAATTATATCATCTAGAAATTCACAGAAAACCTTGATACCTTATGATTACTGTACAGAAAGGTTATCTCCTATGCTGGTACTCATGGGGTCACAGGGCCATAGTACTGCATGTATGTAGATTACTGGCCTATGGCTCCCAGCTTTGCTGTTGGAGGTTTTTTACAACCTGTTGCTGGCTCTGTCAGATTCAATCTTGTCTCTCTGTATGAATATGAAAGTCAAGAGCAGCAGAGTCTTTTAACTTGTAGCTGCTTCTCTTCCTCCTCAATTAATTCAGTGCACAGATAGTTGTCACTTGCAGTGCTGAAAGCTGTTTGGGAACCCTACTACCCATCAGATGACTGTGACATGCGACATCATCATTTGCTTTGAAGCAAATATTTTTTCTTCCCCTGCTTGTCACCTCCAGGAAGTTAGTTTGATCCATACCTTTTTGCCATTGTGTTCAAGAGTGCTAGGGTAGGGGACAAAGGGAGGACAAGGAACACTTTTTAAGAGTCTGGGAAGTTGCAGTCATGCTGCTAGCCAGCGGTCCTCCTCACATTCACTCAATATTCCCCTTGAATGCCACTCATGCAAGGATGATTGAGAACAGTGACACATTGACACATTTAACAGGTAAAAGGCTTGCTGAAAAACTCGACAGTAAAGGTGAATTAAGCTTGGTAACTGAAAATGTCAGATGCTTTCATTTTAATTTTCATATGAGGCTGAAAAAGATGTGATATGAAGAAAGAGGTTCTGCTTTTTCTTTCTTAGTCAGCCTACCTTTTCCCTTGACATTTTACTTACTTCAAAAGTACATTGTGGGTCGGGCATGATGGCTCACACCTGTAGACCCAGTACTTTGGGAGGCTGAGGCAGGGGGATCATTTTAGTCCTAGAGTGCTGCAGTGAGCTATGATTACACTGCTGCACTCTAGCCTCAGTGACAGAGTGAGACTATCTAAAAGAAGAAAATGCTTTAGAAACAAAAATAAGGTTGGGTGTGGTAGCTCATGCCTGTAATCCGAGCACTTTGGGAGGCCAAGGTGGGTGGATCATCTGAGGTCAAGAGTTAGAGACCAACCCCGTTTCTACTAAAAATACAAAAATTAAGCCAGGTGCAGTGGTTTAGGCCTGTAATCCCACACTTTGGGAGCGGAGGCGGAAAGATCACTTGAGTTCAGGAGTTCGAGATCAGCCTGGCCAACATGTCTTTTGTTGGTTTAGTGAAACCCCATCTCTACTAAAAATACGAAAATTAGCCGGGCATGTTGGCACATACCTGTAGTCCCAGCTACTTCGAGGCTGAGGCACAAGAATTGCTTGAACCTGGGAGGCGGAGCTTGCAAGATGTGGAGATGGTGCCATTGCGCTCCGGCCTGGGTGGCAGAGTGAGACTCTATCTCAAAAAATAAATAAATAAAAATGAAAAAATTAGCCAAGCCTGGTGGCATGCACCTATAGTACCAGCCACTCAAGAGGTTGAAGTAGGAGAATTGCTTGAACCCGTGAGGCAGAGGTTACAGTGAGCTGAGATCACACCACTGCACCCCAGCCAGAGCGAGACTCCATCTCAAAAAAAAAAAAAAAAAAAAAAAAAAAAAAAAAAAAAGAGAGAAAAGAAACAAAAATAATTTTCTTGTTTCTTCCTTCGGAACACGTAAGTGGAAAGTGAGTGAAGTTCTGTAATACCTGGCAAAGGGAGAGGGAGTGAGAAATCTTTCCATTAAATGTTACAGGCTGCAGGGTAATTTTTACTGTTGGTAAAATTGACTCTGAAATTTTACTAAAGACCTTAGTGAAGAGGAGTGGTAAGGCTACATTCACACATTTTCTCACAGTATGTGTCAGTGACCATGTTGCTTTGCTAGGTTCTTTTCAGAGCCGGAGTGAGAAATAGGGAGCTCCATGGGAATAAGAAGTAAAACTCTCACTCACTAAGTCCTTAATATAAAATGTTCTTTTTCTTTCGGGATTTTAAATCTATTTGCTTATTAAAGCTTTAGTGCATACGTATGAGACTACCCTTCCCTTGACATTCGTCTTGCTCTAAAGGAGAAATCAAGGACATTCTTCTTGATGTAAAGGAGACATTTCTACCTAACTGCCAAGTGAGACCAATTGAAAATAATGTCACATGTTAGGAGTCAAGACATTAACCAGACTCGTTAAGAATCAGGTTATCCAGTTCTTCCAAATTATTTCTAGGGAATGAGACTGTCATTATTCAGGGAACTGTTCCTTCAACTTCACTATGTCCCACTAAAGCAAAACAAAACTATATTACTTCAATCAGAAAACAAATGTCTGTTTTAATTCTTCCTTATACCAAAATAAACTAACTCTTCTATTTTCCTTCTAGAAAGAAAACAGCTTTCTTAGGGTTTTGTATTGTCTTGAGTTTTCAATGCAGCGTTGTAGTTCACTGAAGCGTAAGCGCCTTAGTTCTGCTCTTATTTTGTGAATGGTGAGAATTCCTTTTGGGCTGACCTGCATTTTAATGCTGCAGGCAGATAGCATCTTTCATTCACAGCACCAGGGGCAATGGTTATACAATAGAAATGCTTGAGAATATCTAGGAACTGGGTTCCTAAGGCATGGTGCTACAGGAAAAAAATATTATAATGAAAACAGCAACAGAGGACATTAATTCATTTCCTAACATTTTATTTCCCTTTGTTTCTTTTTCACTTTAAAAAAGGTCAGTTGATTGGATACTTTTTTCATACACGATGTTGCTGTGGCTTTGTTCACTAAATAGCCTTTTTCCATATGTTAGGTACTTATGTCACACCATTGTAAAAACCTTTTTTTTTTCTTTTGAGTCGGAGTCTTGCTCAGTCACCCAGGCTGGAGTGCAGTGTAGTGGCGGGATCCCCACTCCCTGCAACCTCCGACTCTCGGGTTCAAGTGAGTCTTATGTATCAGCCTCCCAGGTAGCTGGGATTACAGCTGTGTACCACTACACCTGGCTAATTTTTGTATTTTTAGTAGAGACTGGGTTTCGCCATGTTGGCCAGGCTGATCTTGAACTCCTGACCACAGGTGATCCCACCCCCCTCAGCCTCCCAAAGTGCTGGGATTACAGGCTGAGCCAGCACACCCAGCCCATTATAAATATCTTAATCTCTCCACAAACCTCTCTGGCTTCTGTCATAGAGAGACAAGTGATGTGTAATTGCCTCAGTTTGATGTTGCAACTCAAACTGAAATTTGAGTTGAAATTTATCCTTTATTTGGCTTCCTTTCTAATAAAGTTTTATTTTTGAAATGGAATCTGGCTCTGTTGCCCAGGCTGGAGTGCAGTGGCGTGATTTCGGCTCACTGCAACCTGTGCCTCCTACGACGCCTGGCTAATTTTTATATTTTTAGTAGAGACAGGGTTTCGCCATGTTGGTCAGGCTAGTCTTGAACTTCTGACCTCAGGTGCCTTGGCATCCCAAAGTGCTGGGATTACAGATGTGAACCACAGCACCCAGTCTTCCTGTCTAAGAAGGCTTTAAACATGCAGCTGTAGCCACAGCTCTGGTGTTTATTAGCCTGGCATCACAGTCAGTACTGTGAGTGCCATTGCTTAGGCTTAGCCTATAAATACCCACAAATATCCATTACAGAAGCAGGCAAGGGCAGATGCTGTGCTAAGCAGCCCAAGGGCCACACTTGGAACGCACTTAAGAAGCATGCTGTGTTCAGTACAGTAAAACCTTGGCAATTCAATGGCTTCAGCAAATGTTCTGTGTAGTAAGTGTTTTTCATAGAAATATTTCTGGCTTGTCCTGGTGATTTCTCTGCTATCTTAACGGAATCATCAAGAAGAGATTAAATTGTTTAGCTGTATGAACATAGTTTATTAACCAGTGCTATACAAATAGCTAGAGATGCAGACAAACATGATGTGAGACTAGAGTGAATGACACCTGAGCCCAGCATTCTTAAGAGCTAAACAAGAGTTCCTGGTATCCTTCTGTTTTTTGGAATTTTTTTTCCAAGAAAGGGAGGAGGATTAAAGGTTTATCTCCTCAAACCCTTGTTTCTGAACCATGAACCCACATTTCTAGTTTATTTTACATTAGGCTCCTAGAGTGGGATATGGGAAACCCTGGATACCAGCATGCCTGCCTGCCAGCAGAATGAGTTGATGCTCCTGAGACTGAATGCTGTCTTGCATTTGGCTTCCCTATTTTATTTATACTAAGTTTATAAGTATAAACTTATAAGTATTTTATTTATACTAAGTTTATAAGTATAAACTTTATAAGTATTTTATTTATACTAAGTTACTCAGGCTGGAACAGAATATCCTTCACTTATTCTTAATTTAGGGTGAGCTGCTTCATATAATATTTACTTGAAAGCCTATTGATCCTGCTTTACTAGAAGAAAGAACAGTGAGTCAGCAAATAGCTCTAGACCTGGCTCAGTGAGTGGTGTGGCCTCACTTAGCTTCTCTGGTCTGCTTTTTTCTTTTGAGATAGAGTCTTGCCCTGTCACCCAGGCTGGAATGCTGTGGCGCCATCTTGGCAACCTCCGCCTCCCAGGTTCAAGTGATTCTCCTGCCTCAGCCTCCCAAGTAGCTGGGACTACAGGCATGTGCCAGTGAGCCTGGCTCATTTTTATATTTTTAGTAGACATGGGTTTTGCCATGTTAGCCAGCTGGTCTTGAACTCCTGTCTCTGGTCCAGTTTTATCTCTAGAATGGTTCCAGAATAAATTATTTCACAGGCTTTTTCAGCCCTGAAGTTGTGCTAATGTGACTCACAGTTATTTTCTCTAAGTTTTCCTCCAAGTTTTTAAAAATAGCTTTCTAGCAACCTAAAAATTACAGCTGGAACTGAAATAAAAATAAAAGTTGTACCTTACTCATTACATTTCTTTTCTACAAAGATACCATATTCTGATTTACCCTTCAGGTGGTAAGGAAATTAGATAAGTCATATTAGAGTTGGCTGCAAAATGCTAAGAGGATTCCTAGACAGTAATTTTGCTTTCTTAGAGTGAGTTCTACAGTTGCCCCAAAATAGGATGGCTTTCATATGGCCAGATAATCCTCTGCTCTGAAATAATCTTTTTCTGAAGGTAGTCAACTAGGAGGGGATATTTTAAAAATATCCCATATGTCAGTTTGTATTCCATAACCAACAATGATTTGTGGGCCACACTATAATAAGTACTAGTCAGAATACTTTGGTTAGATTGGATGCATTCCATTGTCCTGTTTGTTGAAGATTTTCACTTTGAGAAGATTGAATAGATTTCTACCTAGCTACCATTAATAGGCCTTAAACTTATGTAGGTTATGTCATTAGTAAGGAAAAAAACAGTCATATGCAAAAGCATTTTTTTTTTTAAAGAGGGGCTCACTCTCGCTCAGGCTGGAGTGTAGTGGTGCAGTCATAGCTCACTTATGCAGAAGCATTTAGCACCACTCTTAGTGGTTGTTCAATAACATTTGTGGTGCTTTATAGATAAACTATTGAAAACTTGGTCCTTGGCCTTTTCACTCATTGCGGAATTGTGTGGATTTGTCTTGCTTGCTGGCCCTCTAGAATGACACTGGTTCTCCACTTGTGGAGCAGCACATGCACTGCATGGTAATCATTTCTACTGAGGACTGTGTAGGATGCCATTCAGGTAGCTGTGTGAGCCTTTCAGCTGTGTGTGTTCTGAAAGCTAATGAGAGCCATTTTAGGTGATTTTTGTCACCCTCCCACCCCCAACTGCAGACTTGTTCTAGCTTCTCGCACTTTGTAACTCTTTTCTGAAAAACTACCTCCTACATGGCTGCCTTGATGTAAACCTTACTGATGCCCAGGTTCCTTCTTTTATCTGTTTTGTTCTTTGCCTAGCTTTGCTGGTTATTGTTGTTCCTCATCTTTCTTTTCTTTTTTATTTTTTTTTAATTTTATATTATGCTCTCCTATTTGTTTCAACATACTCATATACTACTTTGCTTTTGTAGCTGCTACCTTGAGTCTTTACTCTTGCCTTTTTAATGAGTTCCTTTGCCTTTGGTATGTTTTTTATTTTGAGGTAACATCCAATCATATAATATTCTGGAAGTCCAAGAGATCCAGAAAGTCAAACACCAGACAACTTAGGGTTTATTGTATTACTCACAGTTCCTTTCTGTGTAGATATTTTGAGATCCGAGAGGCTTCTTTAGTGACCTGTTATATGAGTCATACATTGAACTCTTTGATGAACTATAGCATTTTCCTTGTTAGTCACTACTAGCATCATTACAGTCATTTCATTATCATCATCTGACTTTCTGAATTCGTCTCTATGACTAGCATTTTCACCTGCTTATCCCCGTTTTTGGTATTCCTTTTCCTTTTATTCTTTGACAAGTTAATTCCTACTTGTCCTTCATTTCTCTGTCTGGGCCTCACCTTGGTTCACCCATGTTATAGAGACCTATGAATACTCTAATTCCAGCTCTTGGTACACTGTTCTCTCTTTTTTTTTTTGAGACAGAGTCTTGCTCTGTTACCTAGGCTGTAGCACAGTGGCGCAATCTCGGCTCACTGCATCCTCTGCCTCCCAGGTTCAAGCGATTCTTCTGCCTCAGCCTCCTGAGTAGCTAGGACTACAGGTGCCCACCATCATGGCCGGCTAATTTTGTGTATTTTTAATAGATACAGGGTTTCACCATATTGGCCAGGCTGGTCTCGAACTCCTGACCCTGGGATCTACCCCCCTCAGCCTCCCAAAGTGCTGGGATTACAGGCGTGAGCTACCATGCCCAGCCAGTACACTGTTCTCTTATCTCCTACTGTAGCCATTCTCAATCCTCAGACACTACTTTAGCAATTATTCCTAGAAAACTCCAGGTACTTTCCTACTCCACATGCTCATATGGCAGCTTCTGCCCTTCTCTGATCTCTGCTTATGTGTCACTGAGTCAGTGAGGCCTGTCCTGACAATCTCACTTCACATTGCTTACTCACCTACCCTTCCCTGTCCGTTCTTTCCCTTTGTTGCTTTACTTTTCTCCAGAGTACTTGCCACTATCTGACATTCTGTATAGTTACTGATTAAAATGGATTATCATGGCTGGGCATGGTAGCTCACGCCTATAATCCCAGCACTTTGGGAGGTCCAGGTGGGTGGATCACCTGAAATCAGGAGTTCAAGGCCAGCCTAACCAATAATGGTGAAGCCCCCGTCTTTACTAAAAAGACAAAAACTTGCTTGTCATAGTGGCGTGCACATGCAGTCCCAGCTACTCAGGAGGCTGAGCAGGAGAATTGCTTGAACCCGGGAGGTGGAAGTTGCAATGAGCCAAGATCGCGCCACTGCCCTCCAGACTGGGCAACAGAATGAGACTCCGTCTCAAATAAAATATAAAATAAAATAAATCAGTCTACTTACTACGATGTAAATCTTATGAAGTAAGAGATTTTGTTCTCTGCCATATTCATAGGTGCCTTGAACAAGGCTTGATATGTAATGGGGTTATAATTATTGAATGAATAAATCTTCAATTACTTTTCTCTCTCACCAGTGTATAGTAACCTCCCTGAGAGCAGGAAACATGTTTTGGTTCTTATTTTATTTATTTCTTATTACTTTTTAAATTTTACTTTATATCCAGGATACATGTGCAGAATGTACAGGTTTGTTACAAAGGTATATATGTGCCATGGTGGTTTGATGCACTTATCAACTCATCATTTAGGTTTTAAGCCCCGTATGCATTAGGTTCTTATATTTATGTAAGTGTAAACAATTAGCAAGTGATTGGTAAATTGTCACTTCAGTGGCTGTGTGCCTTCAGATGAGATTTATTAATAAACCTTTGTTTTTACTGTTGGGTTGTGTTCAGGAGGTTATCGTGTTATGGCAAAATTGTAGTGAAACAAAAGCAATAAATACCTTTGGGTACTTTATTGTTTTATAGAAGTGATTGTTAGAAAAAGTGTCTTACATTTTGGAATGTTAATATTATCCTTCCTTCTCTAACACACACATACATACAGACTCACTATTAAGTTGTTTATTTGGGTTTTTTTTGAGACAGAGTCTTGCTCTGTCACCCAGGCTGGAGTGTAGTGGCGTGATCTTGGCTCGCTGCAACCTCTGCCTCCTGGTTCAAGGAATTCTTCTGCTGCAGCTTCCCAAGTAGCTGGGACTACAGGCGCCTGCCAACACGCCCGGCTAATATTTTTTGTAGTTTTTATAGAGACGGGTTTTCACTGTGTTGGCCAGGCTGATCTCGAACTCCTGACCTCGTGATCCGCCCACTTCAGCCTCCTAAAGTGTTGGGATTACAGGCATGAGCCACCATGCCCGGCCTATTAAGTTATTTTTATTAAAACTTTGAGGATTTATATGTTTGGGGTTGATTTAGTTTTAGGTTTTTCTTTATGATTCTTATCTTACATACTAATAAAAATCTCATCACATTTAATTTGCCCTCAAAGGGCATAATTTGCTTCTTGCTTTTCTAGCATGGTATGTTAAATTATAAGACTCTATGCCCTTTTAACTGTGCACTTCCTTCCTTAGGAATCAGAGAAGATCATTGCTGAGTTGAATGAAACCTGGGAAGAGAAGCTTCGTAAAACAGAGGCCATCAGAATGGAGAGGTCAGGAGGGTGGTTAAAATCTGGAAATGTTTCTAAGTTTTCTAGGGAATATGGATTACTTTATAGTAAGAAAAGATAAAATAGAAATTAAAATCAAAGAATCTTCGCTTCTAAAACACAAAACAAAACAAAAAACATGGTCAGGGATTTATGGCCAGTTGAATTTATGCTTGTAATATGTAATATGACTCCAGGGAGTCACGTGTATAATAGTTACCATATTACATGTTGCTAGGGAGCCATAAAAAATGGAACATACTGGCCAGACATAGTGGCTCGTACCTGTAATCCAAGCACTTTGAGAGGTCAGTGTGGGAGGAATGCTTGAGGCCAAGAGTTCAAGACCAGCCTACGCATTATAGTGGGACCCTGTCTCTACAAAATATTTAGAAAATTAGGCCAGTTGCTGTAATCCCAGCACTTTGGGAGACCGAGGTGGGCGGATCATCTGAGGCCAGGAGTTCAAGACCAGCCTGGCCAACACTGGTAAAAACCCCTCTCTACTAAAAATACAAAACTTAGCTGAGCGTGGTGGCAGGCACCTTTAATCTTAGCTACTCAGGAGGCTGAGGCTGGAGAATCACTTGAACTCGGGAGGCGGAGATTGCAGTGAGCTGAGATTGCACCACTGCTCTCAAGAATGGGTGACAGAACAAGACTGTTTCAAAAAAAAAAAAAAAATAGTAACTCAGAGTGATGGTGGGTGCCTGTAATCCCATCTACTCATGAGGCTGAGGCAGGAGAATTGCTTGGACCCAGGAAGCAGAGGTTACAGTGAGCCGAGATCATGGCATTGTACTAGCCTGGGCGACAGAGTGAAAGTCCATCTCAAAAAAACAAAAACCAAAAATGTTAAAAAATAAGCTGGGTGTGGTAGCTTATGCCTGTAGTTCCAGCTGCTTGGGAGGCTGAGGCAGGAGGATTGCTTCAGCCCTGAAAGTCAAGGCTGTAGTGAGCTGTGAACTCACCACTGCACTTTAACCTGGTTGACAGAGTAAGACCTTGTCTTAATAATAAAAGGAAATAGGAGCATATTGAGGAATAGAGTAGGTTTCTTTTGATAAAGGCAGACATCCAAATAGCTATTCTGATTATTGTCTTTCAAAGGTGCCTTCTCTATCTAGAACTTCTTTGGTAAAGAGGTGAAGGAGTTTGGGTTGAAAACTTTATTATTATTATTATTTTTGAGATGGAGTCTCACTCTGTTGCCCAGGCTAGAATGCAAGGGCACAATCTTGGCTCACTGCAACCTCCACCACCCAGGCTCAAGTGATTCTCCTGCCCCAGCCTCCTGAGTATTACAGATGCCTGGAATTACCGGCGCCTGCCACCACACCCAGCTAATTTTTGTATTCTTAGTAGAGATGGGGTTTCACTATGTTGGCCAAGCTGGTCTCTTGCACCTGACCTCAAGTGAGCCACCACACCCAGCCTGGCTGCAAACTTTAAGAATCCCTATTCTGTCCTAACATCTATCACTTCTCTACCCTAAAGGTGAGCATAACCCACCTTCTTTTTCTATTAGAATAGACTACATTTGAAAAAGCCAGTTTCTGTTTTTCTTGTTCATGAAGGTGAGGCAGAAGTTACTAATAATGTAGTGATATAGTAAATGTAACAAACAGGATTTTTTTACTTATTACAGCAATTTTAAGCTAAATTATTGAAACAGTTGGGCAAGGGAACATAACATTTGAGAAAATCACATTTATAGACTATACTCCACATATCAAAGTTACTTTCTGATTGCTTTCTTAGAAATGTTTCTTCAGGTGGAATTTATAACTTAAGGAATAGCCTCTTCTTTTTTTATATATATTAATATACATATTACTTATGAATTATTGGCTGTCTCCAAAGTTGGTTGAGACAAAGTTCTTATTTGAGTGATATAACTAACAAAGCAAGATTTAATTTATTTTGAATGTGATGTTGCTTTTAGAAATAACTTCTCATTCGGGAGCCGCGGTGGCTCTGGCCAGTTGTCCTGGCGCTTGAGGAGGCGAGGCTATGAGTTCGAGGCCAACCTGAGCAACATAACAAGCTCTCATTGATTAACAAAAAGAAAAAAAGAAATAACTTCTCATTAGTGATGCGAGAAGCACATTATTTTATGTTTGCATTATTGACTTTAAATATGGCCAGTTGTCTTTGGTTTTTGTTGAAAATTGTTTTTATTTTGTTGAAAATAAAGGCTGGGGCATGCTTTATTTTCCAATCCTTATTAGACTGATTTAATTGACATTTTTGTGTTGGTATTCTGATATACCTGTTTTTTTCCTAGAGAGGCTTTGTTGGCTGAGATGGGAGTTGCCATTCGGGAAGATGGAGGAACCTTAGGGGTTTTCTCACCTAAAAAGGTAGGAAACAATGTTATGAAACCTAATCAGACAGAGACACTTTTTGTTTGTCTTTGTTACTGGGGCACTTCATATCTTTCAGTACTTACCCCCTTCCCCCTTTTATGATCTCAATGATACTTGGCTTAATTTCAGATATTTCTGATTTCATCTTAGAGTATGGTCTTGTAGTACAAAGGCAACCTATTTCTAAAATGCCTATCATGTTTACGATTTACAAAAGAAAAAACCCAAGACAGTATATCTGTAACTTTTGGCCATGATTGAATATGTTTAGTCCTTTATTTTAAGTGACCCCAGATTGGCTATTGGAGACTTAAACATCTTGATGCATAGGTTCTGATGATGGCCTCTCTAAGTTAGTATACAAGGGGTGGTGAGTTTTGAATTGGTACTTTTATGTGATATGAAATATTCCTGTGGTTTTTGCTACAATTCTTCTGGTTAAATTTTTCTGTCCTGGTCACATAACTTTTTTTTTTTTTTTCAAATTCTAATGTGTTATTTTTAACAGAAAAGATTGATGTAAAGACATTTGCATATTGTAGAATAGAACAATAAGTATTTTATATGTTTATATTATGAAAGATTAGTGTTTTTCACAGTTTTAGTAGTTTTTTTTTTTCCAGTAAGACATATATTTATTCAGATGTGTTACTTATGATTGTATAGATTTTTGCAGTTACAGTTTTGGTGGGGTTTTTTGTGTTTTTGTGAGACGGAGTTTCTCTCTGTCACCCAGGCTGGGGTACGGTGGTGTAATCTCAGCTCATTGTAACCTCCACCTCCCAGATTCAAGGGATTCTTCTGCCTCAGCCTCCCAAGTAGTTGGGACTACAGATGCATGCCACCACACCCAGCTAATTTTTGTATTTTTAATAGAGACGGGGTCTCACCATGTTGGCCAGGGTGGTCTTGATCTCTTGACCTCATGATCTGCCCTCCTTGGTCTCCCAAAGTGCTGGAATTACAGGCGTGAGCCACCATGCCCAGCCGGAAAATTTTTACTGTAACCACTTGTGAAAATATGGCATTTAACATGAATCATAAATAACTTGAACAAGTGTTGAGATCTAAACTGTGTGGAATTCCAAAGTGAGATCTCTATTTCCAAAGCTTTTTCTGTAATTTTACCCCTTTCTACACTTCTTCGTGAAAGAAAGGGATATACCTTGACCACATCCAAACTAAGTCTTAGCACTTCTTTCTGAGATTCCATTTTTCAAATCATGATGTACTTTAAAGAACGCTACCCACAAAGGGATTTGACGTTCTCAAATTAGTCAAGTTCTTTAACTACAAGGCAGATGCTAGTTGAGAAGTTGTGGAGGTTTTTTCAAATTTCTCTTTAACCATCTTTTATAGTCCCTTTTCTTACCTGCCTTATCTGACTCTTTTTTCATTCTTCCACACTTGCTGGCACTCTCTTGAGTAGATTTTGGCCCCAAGACCATGTGACTTATTTTTGAATTCCAGTGGGGTATTTTCACCAAAGAAGATTGGTTTTTTTAAAAAAAGAATTTAGAAATATTAGAGTTAAATGAAGAGGATTGTTAGAGGATGTTCATATTATCGAATGTCAGTAATTTTAATTTTTTCTTTAAGGTAAAGACTAATAAACTAAAGGCAATAACTGGGACCACAGAAGAACTGATAAAAATTATACTGGAAAGTGGCAAGGGGTGTATGAGGACATTCTAATAAAAGTAAATGAAGAATTAAATATTTCTTACCCAGGCATTTACAAAAATTATACCATTCAGCTAAATGGCCTGTCCTAATTTTTTCCTTGTGTTTCCACTTTATCAAAAATTGGGTCTTGTTTGTTTTATCCCAGAACTCATGTTTTAAAATAGAATGCCAGGTGAAGTGGTTCACACCTGTAATGCCAACACTTTGGGAGTCCGAGGAGGGTGGATCACTTGAGTTCAGAAGTTCGAGACCAGCCTAGCCAACATGATGAACCCCTGTCTCCACTAAAAATACAAAAATTAGCCAGGTGTAGTGGTGGGCACCTGTAATCCCAGCTGCTTGGGTGGCTGAGATAGGAGAATCGCTTAAACCTGGGAGGTGGAGGTTGCAGTGACCCAAGATCATGCCTCTGCACTCCAGCCTGGGTGACAGAGTGAAACTCTGTCTCAAATCAATTAATTAATTAAATTTAATATAATAGAATGCATTGGTTCAGTTTGGGGAGACCTGAAGAGAGTATTTTCTCTTTATTGTGGAACCAACCACAACTAGAGATAAAAAGAAATCCCTCTCTAAGCTCTGTGGAGAGTTGAAGGAGCCTGTCCTCCTGTAGGCCCCTGTTGTTACCACAGCTCTCTGATGGTGCCCTGCTCCAAATTGATCATCTGTACCTTTTTCAGACCCCACATCTTGTTAACCTCAATGAAGACCCGCTAATGTCTGAGTGCCTGCTTTATTACATCAAAGATGGAATTACAAGGTACATTTCTTTCTTGTTTTGGTCACTTCATGTTTTTTTCACCTCTTAGATAATTCAGTAAGTAAAAAGGTGTTGAAAATTTTAATGTAATGATTTGCTGTTTTTTGTCTGAAATAGTTACAAACTATCCTGTCTTTCCAACTAATGTGTTTTTGCCAATGGAACCATTTAACATGTAGTTTTTCTCTGAAGACCCTAAATAAATTTTTTTCCTCTAACAACTTACATACATTATTTAGGGATTTTATTTCACACATGTCTTCTTATAATGCTGTATGAGTTACACTGGTGTATCAGTGTTCCTTGTTTCTTATTCTGATATAGAGAAGTTGATCATATATGAGGATAGAATTTGTAGTTGAAAGCTTCTGATGCAAAAAGGCAATACCTTTTTTGTACGTACCAAAGGGAGAACCTCTTTCTTTGGGAGAAAGAGGTTCATTGTTTGTAGTGCTTTCTGTGTCTGAATTTCCCTGGGAAACACTTTCTCTTGTGTTCAGGGTTGGCCAGGCAGATGCTGAGCGGCGCCAGGACATAGTGCTGAGCGGGGCTCACATTAAAGAAGAGCATTGTATCTTCCGGAGTGAGAGAAGCAACAGCGGTGAAGGTGAGCATCCTAGCTGGAGCTTCAGCAACAACTTTTTCATTTCATATTATGAGAACTCCTTAAGACTTTGTGTTCTCTATCAGTAGTACTTTCTTACACAACCTAATTCTGAAAAATGGAGAGAACTGGACTGCTTGTGAATGCAGAGATGGACAGGGCTACTTTACATGAAAATAGCTTGGACAAAAGAAGCCCTTTTGTTACTGCCAAGAACTGAGCAGGATATAGGCAATTAGGCTTGGTCTTGAATGTTAATTATTTAATAGAAAAGTAAGAAAATAACAAATATCCTGGGCAATAGGAGATTTGAAAGAGATTAAGTCTTAACACAGTAGAATTTATTTTTTATCTAAAAGGGAAGAAGAAGTCTTGATTTTTGCCTGGGTTATTAACAAAACAGCAATAATCTAATGATATTTTTGTGTTATATAATTCACTCATTCCTTTATCAAAATACTGGCTTCTTGGCTGGGCGTGGTGGCTCGTGCCTGTAATCCTAGCACTTTGGGAGACTGAGGCGGGCAGATCACAAGGTCAGATGTTCGAGACCAGCCTGGGCAACATGGTGAAACCCCATCTCTACTAAAAATACAAAAATATTAGCTGGTTATGGTGGTGAGCTACTCAGACAGCTGAGGCAGGAGAATTGCTTTCTCCCAGTAGAACCCGGGAGGCTGAGGTTGCAGTGAGCCGAGATTGCACCACTGCACTCCAGCCTGGGTGACAGAGTGAGACTCCATCTCAAAAAAAAAAAAAAAAAAAAAAAAAAAGGCTTTTCAATCTTAAGTTTCTGGTTATTACCTGTGTCTCATCCTTAATGATTTCTGACGGTTTTGAGTTTTATTGACTGAACTGTCAGAGATCACCAGAACTAGTATTTTCTGTTATCTTAGGTTTATCACATAGAGTTAAATGATAGCCTCTTCTACTGGGACTAGTTCTAGTACCCCAAAATGAACTACTGTCTAGACACTTCAGCCACTTGATTGCAGGGATTTATTCCGCTTACCACAAATCCTGTTAAGCAACTGCTTTCCATTGTTTGATTCCAGTGGTTTGTGATGATAACATTAGTTTGTGTTCCTCTTAGTTATCGTGACCCTAGAACCCTGTGAACGCTCAGAAACCTACGTAAATGGCAAGAGGGTGTCCCAGCCTGTTCAGCTGCGCTCAGGTGAGACTGGGAGAGGTTTGTCGTCTTCAGCAATGTGCACATGGCTTATGTGACAACTCTAATTTTTGGCTGTTTAAAGGCTGAAGTAATAGCATTAGGATTTTTGTTCATATAAAAACAACGGCTTTGAAAGCTATCTTCACATTAGGGAGGGTGAGTTTATTAAATAAATAGTATATATTTTAAAAATTATTTCTTAACCTTATTTTTATATTTTGGAAACCCTACTTTTCTGTTTCCAGGAAACCGTATCATCATGGGTAAAAACCATGTTTTCCGTTTTAACCACCCGGAACAAGCACGAGCTGAACGAGAGAAGACTCCTTCTGCTGAGACCCCTTCTGAGCCTGTGGACTGGACATTTGCCCAGAGAGAGCTTCTGGAAAAACAAGGAATTGATATGAAACAAGAGATGGAGAAAAGGTAATGCACAATTCTGCAGCCCACGTGACTATCTCTTCTTTTAAACACTTAATAGCATTCTTCAAATAATAGCTCAGTGACTTCACAGTTTATTCTTTTTGCCCTTTTTTTTTTTTTTAAACTTCTAGGCTACAGGAAATGGAGATCTTATACAAAAAGGAGAAGGAAGAAGCAGATCTTCTTTTGGAGCAGCAGAGACTGGTAGGAGTCCTGAATCCGCTAAACTGTTGGGAAAAGGGCAGCTTGTTCCCATGCTTTCCTTGTTCCACAGAGTAGCACTCACCCAAATGATACCATGCACTGTTCTTTCATTTCCTTAATGGAGAATGAACTTAAATTTCCTGGTAGCCTTAGCCTGAAAAATAGTCCATAGAGGTACTCTTTTGGGCTTTTTATGACTTAAAGTCAAATCTTTACTTCTGTTACAACCAAATACTTTTAAAGGAAATAGAGCTTTTCTGGTAGCCTTTACCTCGATAGTGGTTTTGGAATTTGCATCAGTGGTGGTTCTTTTAATGATAATTACTCTGAATATTGAATTTGGTGGGAGTTTGCCTTGGTTTTGTTTCTGATCACTTGATAGTACTAATTCTCTGCTCTTGGGCTGACTTTGGGATTGTTCTTACTAAGGCTGGGCAGATTTTTTTTTTAAGTTAAACTGTGTCTAAACGTGTTGCTGCACAGTTGCATGTGTTACTCCTTTCCTGTTCCCCTGCATGGAATCTGAATTCTCAACCAGGTTCTCAGTGGCATGTGTGGTAGCGGTCAGAGCAGAGGCTGCATACCCAGCACAGGCAGGACAGAAGGCTTGCTTCCTTTGAGGGAGGAGGGAGGGAGGATTTGGGTGAGCAGCTGGAAAGTCTGTTTAAGGTCCCAGCTATTGATGTAATACTAATGGCTTCAGCATTTTATAATGGTAATGGATTTCCCAGATTTGATAGAAACTGAATCTCATGAATGAATAAATTGATCCATTAGTTAGATTTTTTTTTAAAGCCAACCAGTTTTGGTTAACAAAGCTGTGGTTATAAGACCATCTCAGCATTCATTTGATATGTAAGAATAAAATATAACTAACCTTTGGATACTGTGGATGCAGTTTAGGAAGTTCTCATTTTTTAAGATTCATTCATATCTTTTATATATAAGGCTTCTTTCCTTAGTATAAAATACAGCATGTAACTTGCAGTCTGATAGTCATGATCTGTGTTTTGGAGAAGAAGGGACTAGTGCTACGTGGGCCAAAAAGCGAAGGACTTGAGCAGACGCAACCTTTTCCAGCACACCTCATTCTCAGACGTGGGCTTGGATTAAACCAGTTTGTTATCTCGCAAATTCTAGTAAAACCCTAAAAAGAATGGATTGTAAGAATAAATCAAGTGTTGGGGCAAGATAATAGTGTTACCAATAGAGGCGCTTTAGGAGGCCTTTTTAGAATTAAGTTTTTAATGAAAACGGAAAGTACTAGCTACAATGTGATTAGTGGCTTAAAAGGTTTGTGACACACAGAGAAGTCTTTTATCTTAATAATGTAGTAAATTCTAATAACATGCCTCTGATGGTCTGTGAGAGATCAAACGAGGACAGGTGTAATTAAGCTCTATTATTAATGATAATGCCTTGTATTTGTATAGTGCTTTATAATTTACAGAGAGCATTAACATCCTTCAATTTATTTGATCCTCAAAACAACCCTCTTTGGTAGGTGTATGTATAAGTAAAATATGTAATATTACCTCCCGTTTATAGTTGAGGAAACCAAAACTTGGCCAGGTGCGGTGGCCCACGCCTGTAATCCCAGCACTTTGGGAGGCCAAGGTGAGTGGATCACCTGAGGTCAGGTGTTAGAGACTAGCCTGGTGAACATGGTGAAACCCCATCTCTATCCCAGCTACTCAGCAGGCTGAGGCAGGAGAATCGCTTGAACCAGAGGTGGAGGTTACAGTGAGCCGATACTGTGCCATTGCACTCCAGTCTGGGCAACAAGAGCATAACTCTGTCTCAAAAAAAAAAAATTTAGAAACTGATTGAGTAGGTCTGGGTTGGGACCTGAGCATGCATTTCCAACAAGCTTCTAGGTGATGCCAATGATCCTGGACCTGGGACCTCACTTAGAGTAACTAGGCACGGCAGAATAAGGATGCCTGGTGCTGTCCATAACCAAGAGTTGGTGATCATTCTGTGCCCTAAAATAAAGATGGCCATGAAATAAAGAGAAAGTGAATGTCTGAGACATATTTAGTTTCTAGGTGACATACATAGCCTGCAGATAATCAGATTCTGGTTGTTATTTGCTCTTTGTATGTGAAAGGAAGCCAGGATTTCTAGAGCAGCTCCTTAAAGCAAGGAAGTTGCTTTCCTCTCAAAAGTCTGTCTGTTCCTCTTCTATTTTTTGACTTAAGGGAGGACCTGATTTCTAACACTTTAACCCGAAGAACATCTATTAGTAGTAATACTGAATGGAAAATGTATTTTTATTATCCTGTATTGGTCAGTTCACAGATATGTTTGTAATGCACCCTGTGAATAAACGTTGAGAGACTACAAAGCGATTATTACTCAGCAAATATTTATTTAATATTTACCATATATAATCATTTTTTGCATACTGTCAGCATTAAACAATGGAATTCAGGCTCATGAGTTTTCTGATAGTTCCCAGATGCATCACATTATTACAGTGCTGAGCATTCCCTTCCAGTTATTGCTCTGTGATATGCCTGGTCCTATCTGTGCTTGCTGTTTACATACTGTTTTGGGATCTTCCCTCTTATTTGCATAAGTTCCTTGCAGAGTCTCTTTAGGATACCTACTTTGCATTTGGCATTTAATGAAAGCCGAAGGATCATTTTGTGACATGTGAATTGACTAGACCTCAGTAGCTTTCCAACTTCTTAATGAATGAATCTAAATATTATAAAAATTTGGCCAGGCACAGTGGCTCACGCCTGTAATCCTAGCACTTTGGGAGGCCAGGGTGGAAAGATCACTTGAGGTCAGGAGTTGGAGACGAGCCTGGCCAACATGGTGAAACCTCATCTCTACTAAAAATATAAAAATTAGTCAGGCATCATGGTGGGTGTTATAATCTCAGCTACTTGGGAGGCTGAGGCAGGAGAATTGCTTGAACCTGGGAGGGGGAGTTTGCAGTGAGCCAAGATCAAGCCCTTGCACTACAGCCTGCGTAATAAAGCGAGACTCTGTGTCAAAAAAAATATATAAAATAAATAAATAAACATTATAAAACATTCTTTTTTTGACATGAAGATAGGATTTATATCACATAAACTTTGCATATAGTTTTTAGTATCACTATCAGTATGTGACAGGGTGACATGTTTGAACTATAAAGAGGACATATTCTACAGAGTCAAAATGGCAGTATTTTATAAAGAAAGAAAACGATGGCTGCTTGATTTAACTTGAGTTCTTTTGGATTTATGTAGACTCATATATATTTTAGAATTTAAAGATAAATTTTGTCTCTCAAGCAAGATATTAAAACAATGCTCAGAATACTTGTCATTTCCTGAATTAGGTAATATTCATTTCACTCTTAAGCAATTTGGAGAGGAAAAGAAAAATAGCCAGAAAAAAGATGATAGTTGTTAGTCATGTGGGAAGAATCAAAGAGAATTTATTTATGTTCTGTAAAACTCAGTTTATACATATTTGCAAAAAATCCTCTTTAGGAGTCAAACTTTTTCCTCTAATATTTATTAATGTCATCTTTATCACTTAAAATTAACCATTCTCATTTTTAAAACTAAAAATGAAAAATCAATGTAGAGTCTATAAATTTAGCTTTACTGCTTTTTCAACTTTTTTCTTTTAAACATCCTGTTACAGCAAGCTTTTTTTCTCTATTCTTTTTTTTTTTTAATCAAGAAATGCTGAGTGTATGATAGAATACAGCAAGCTTTACTGCTTTTTGTTGCTAAGTTATCAAATAGGTGAGAGTTATAATGGGAGTAGTACTCATTTGTAGGTTAATAGAACTATATAAATCAGTGGCAACAGTTTGAAATTCAGAGGCCAAATTATTATGATTATTGTTGAAAGTTACTTTTTGGTTCCTTAGAAAGTGGCGGCTATACAGGCAAACCTTTAGTTTAGCCAGGTGTGGTGATGTGTGCCTATAGTCCCAGCAAAGGCAGGAGGATCACTTGAGTGCAGGTATTTGAGACCAGTTTGGGTCCCTGTCTCAAAAAACAAGCAAACAAAAACAACAACAAACTTTGGTCTAGAAGGCAAGGTACTATTTGTCAGTTGCAATTCCTTTAAAAAGCAAACAAACCCCTCTAGAAATATTTTTGTAACCACAGTGATTAAAAAGAGACTGTTAAGTGATGATATATTGTCATTTACTAGACTATCTTGAACTACTCATCTATGAGTTGAGTTTTGTTTTGTTTTTTTAAGTGAAAGCAAGTTTATTAAAGTAAAGAAATAGGCTGGGTGTGGTGGCTCATGCCTGTAATCCCACACTTTGGGAGGCTGAGGCAGTTGGATCACCTGAGGTCAGTCACCTCAGCCAGACCAACATGGTGAAACCCTGCCTCTATTAAAAATACAAAAATTAACTGGATGTGGTGGCAGGTGCCTGTAATCCCAACTACTTGGGAGGCTGAGGCAAGAAAATCTCTTGAACCCAGGAGGCAGTGGTTGTAGTGAGCTGAGATTGCACCACTGCATTCCAGCCTGGGCAACAGAGCAAGATTCTGCCTTTTAACAACAACAAAAAAAAGCAAAGGAATAAAAAATCGTTACCCCATAGGCAGAGCAGCCGAGTATTTTCTTTTCCCAGCAATTTTTATCTCTCGAATAGAACTTCTTTCTAATCCCACTTATTATTTGGAATCTAAATTCAACATTGCTTTCACAGAGATTCATGTTGTCAAGATTTGCCTGTATTAGTTAAGAACTATACAAACAGCCCTTGAAATTACATTGTTGTGAAGTCAGGCTGCTGATTTAGGGCTAAGTAAGGTTTTTTGAAAAAGAGGGAAGGGTGCAAAGACAGCTGGAAAGACGGTTAAAGATCCCAAAGATACCTTTTAAAGTGGATCAATTTTATGTGACTAGAGTATAATCTTTGTGTTTTATGTGTTTATTAGAAGAGTTGTCACTTAAAGTGATATTCTTCAAATAGCTAAAAATATCCTAGGTTTTCTAGATAGAAAACATCTCTAAGTTGTACT